TTGGGCCATGGACGCTTGGAGACATTTGTTTTGCAGCTAAGAATCTAAGAACCCCAAAAACCCAATGCCAATACTATATAAAAGAAGGGTTGCAAAATAGACCCTGAGTGACCATACGCAGACGGGGGGGGGGGGGTGCTGGTTTTTGGATGGATGTCACGCTGGGGCTGGCGTTTTCTTGTCCAAGAGCCCAAACTCCAAGAGGTCGGAGGAAGCTTTGTGGAGGGCTCAACTCAGTTAGTTGTTCAAAGTTTTGACATTTTGGTTTTCCCTGTTTGGTCGATTTTTAGTAGGGGTCCCAAAAGGTGAACCTTTTCTTGATGGGTCCTTTGGGCTGCGTGAGTCACGCGAGGCTGCGCGCCATGCTGCGCCACCTGGGTCTGCTGGAGAAGTTCGACTTCGTGCTCAGCTCCTATGAGGCAGGAGTGGACGCTGGCCAGCATTTCGACAGGGCTGCTTGAAAGTTGCATTTTGCCCGTGTGAAACATGGCTTTTCCCACCAAAATCAAGAGAGACCACCATTTACAAGCAAGGATGTGAGATGAAAACCAAGCATTTGGCTGTGGTTGTCAAAAATAGGGGAACCCCAAAATGGGGCAAGCCCTGGCAAATGGAAACATGGACTAAAACCAAAAAGGTCCAATTCCTGGTGGTTGTATTTTGACCCATACCCATTTCAACCAAGAAATTGGGGTCACCTCACAAGGAAAGGGGTGGCCAACTATCTGGAACCGCGGAACCCGCAAGGGGATTTTGTGTCAGACCCAAGGGTGTTGCTGGTGAATCAGCCCCTTTTAGCTGGTTTAAACGTCACTTTTCGGTTGCCACTCGATGAGTTTTCATGTGGGAAATATATGGTGCCCTGTGAACGAAGCGGTGAGTTGGGCATCCTAAGATCCGTTTCTGTGTGTACCAGGTGGATGCGCTACAGAAGGTCAGTGTGCTGCATCTCGAATCTTTACACAAGGCAAGAAATCAGATACAGCTTACTTTCATTTTGCATGCAAGAAAGGATTGGATTTACCCAAACAGTTTCTAGACATCCACAGTGTGCGGTCACCGAGTCACCGTGTTGACAGTTTCTGGGGTGGTAGTTGAGCCACTTTGCTGCATGCTTATCCAACCTTGGGATAGGCACAATCGGCTCGACGAAGCAGAGAAGGACGCAGTGGGAGATGTGAAGCGGAATGACTTGGGGGGGGTGTCTGCTTTTAGGGATGGTTTTCCAAGGGAAACCGACAAAAATGCCGCTGTTTCTGGGGGTGCCCTAATTTTATCCGCTTGGGGGAGGCGTTTTTTTGTCGAAGGAACCCACACGGGTGAAAAAGCGAAGACTCTGGTCGGCCTGGATCACCCTCCAGCCCTCCTCCAGGAGGGTTGGGGCTGGAGAAATGGGGGCTGGGGGGTTGGATGCGGACATCTTGCGGTTTTTCAAGGCCGACAAACCGTCGCACCCATCCGAGGAGAAGCCTTCACCGCAGATCTTTGAGAAGGCCCGGTGAGGGGATCAGGCAAGGATCTGGCGAAGTAGGTTGTAAGGGTTGCGAGCGGGGGAATAGAGGTTGCACATCCAAGTGCCCCTTTTAGGCCTTGTTTGGGTGTCCTTTTGGTGGGAGTTTTCGCCATCTCGGGGAAGGATTCGTGTCGTTTGTCTTTGGCGAATGCGGTTCCAAGCTTATCCTCCGATGTCTGAAGACTCTTGGCGCGTTGCTCATGTTCGCGCTCGGACTTTGTTCGAGAGCCAAGCATTCAAGGTGTGTTCACAAGTTTCAATCCCGGCATAGACGGATTGGCTAGACGGATTCGCCAGGTTCTTTGACCTGAAGGTCACCTTTTTGCTGCCCCTTGAAACAAGACATCCAGAGACAAACGTTAACTTGCTATCGGCAATAGTCATCGCCTGTGCTTACAGGGATCCCTCAAGGTCCTCTTTTTGGACCTCCAAAAGTGGCAATGTACCCACAAAAACCAAACACAAATCCAGTGACTACCTTTTCTGCACTCCCACAAAATGGGATTTGTGAGCCATTTCCTCATCCCAGGCGGCCCATCTGGCCGGGGTGACTGGACCCTGCCTGCATTGCGGCGACTCAGAGAAGGAGCCGGCAAAGAGTTCGAGCCGGCGTGCGGGCGGGTGTTGCTCTCAAGCGGGTGTTGTGTGTTTGTGTGTTTGTGTGTCTCAAAAAATCGGGGGGGCCTTGCAAAATGGCGGAAGGAACTTGGGGTTTTCCTGTTGGAGTTCCATTTGGTGCCACCCAACAAGTGCAACTACTTAGCCTGAAAAGAAAGACGGGACCCCGAATACCTACCGAGATGGGTCCACCTGTTTGAGAAACGCCAATTCGCCTGAGGAAGTCAGACAACGAACTCACCGATCCAACATGGTAAATCGAGCCCTCGTGTGTAGGGATCTTCCTTATCTCCGGCTTGTGGATGGTTTTCTACGCTTTCCATGTACGCCAGGATCGTGGTTTGACGGTTCGGTCGTTGAGACTGTAGGTTGCCTCCAGAATTCAGGTGATAGAAATCTAGGTCCCCCAGTAGTGCCCTTTACCGTTTCTGTTTTCTAAAATAGACTACAGAGAAAGCTGTGGCTTGAGCTGGCTCACCATCATGGTCCCAGACACATTTGGGTGTGGCTCAAAATTAAAGACCTAGTCTTTGGTTCCATTTGCCCAAGTGCCATTTAGTACATTTATTTGAGCCACAGCCATTTCTCAAGCCCACTGTTGCATAGTGCCATGCATTGGCACCGGGACTTCCTTTTTATTTTCAAACCCCCCAACATCGTCTTTTGTTTTTTTGGGCCGTCGAGAAGGTCTCATTTTCTGTCCAGCCTCCACTTGCCCCCCGTCCGAAACGCGCTTGCTGGTGCTCACGGACTGTGGGAATGAACCCGGTCTCAAAGGAAACAAGGGATAGTTTAGTTCGTGGTTCCAATTCTCATTCCCATCTCTCGCGGGCTCCAAGGGAAGGGGGTTAAAAATATTGGGGCGGGTCAAGGAAATGATGGCGCACCAGCAAGTGAAAACAGCCCAGCCCCACCCCCGCTGCGCCAATCGCCAGCGCGATGTGGCCGGCGCGCTGGGGGCTGGCTGGAGCGCGGTGCTCGTGAACCCCCAGGCACCGGGCCGAAGACACCAAAATGATACACCCTCATGAAAATATGGACCTGGGCACATTTGGACCCAAGTGGCTGAGTACTTTGTTTTTTTTGTTTTTCTCCGGGAGGTGGAGAAAAAAGGGGGACCCTGAAAGGTCGGTCGCGCACACACAAACACACAAATCCCGTATGTTTTGATATCCTCTGAGCGCACCCAAGGGGATGAGATGGAGAGAAGCCATCGTTGTCAATACCTGAGGGCTGAAGAGTCCGACTTGGTTTGCGTGTTCAGTGTCCCAGAGTTGAATTGGAATCCAAACATTTTACTTGGAGGTCCAGGTCTTGGAGGACAAGGTGAGATCTTAACTAGGTCCCCCAGTAGTGCCCTTTTACGAACTTTTTTGGGGAGAGGGTTCCCCTACTAAAAATAGACTACAGAAAAAAGAGAGCCATACCAAGCTGAGACATGTACAGAACAGAACATCCGATGGATTTCCACGAGTTCCCAATGGCGGGAGATCCCCCGCTTTCCGCTGACCGCATGGCCAGGCTTCGGGCGCGTCAGAGCTGGAGGGGGTGCGCCGGCTGGAGTTGATTTGCCCTTGAGCCATTTTTGGGGCGGCCCAAAAAGCAGGGTTCCTTTGTTCCCTACCAGATAGACTCAAAACTAGGGGTTCTCCTGTTGGGAATGAAGCACCCTCAGGTTTAAGTCTACCCTGACGTAGTCAAACAGTGGATCCCTGCCAAAAAGCGTTTTCTGGCAACAGGCGTGGGTCAGGTTCCTCAAGATGTTGTTCGAGTTCGGCCGGGGATGCTCTTGGGGCTTTTGGCTGGTGCCCCACTGATGGTCAAACAAACAAGGTTCCCTCCATGTCCCTATATAGTAGGCAACCAAAGGAACCACCCGATGCATAAAACCCAAACGACAATGGCCATGGGTCAGAATCCCGTACCCCCAAGTGAACATCCCCATCCCCACTAACATAGGCTCTAAAATGGGTGGTGAATTCACCTACCAAAATGGGATCCCAAAACAGTTTTGACAACCACAGCTGGCGAAGGGTTACCTACTATAGTAGCTGGGATCCACTGGCCCAGTCTACCGGATAGCATTTCTGGGGTCCAAAGAAAGAGCAAGTCATTCTTCAGAGAGCCAAACAGCCTCAGGGGGGCATGACCCGACCAGACCCCCAAGCACTGCAAACAAGAAACCGGGCCCCTTGAAACCTAACATGTTTGAGGAGCATCAACACAGTTCAGGAGCCTCAGGCTGATCTTTGGGGAAAATGTGATGGCCGGGCACTTTTGAATCAATGAGGGTAAATCTTCCCAGCGTCCCGGCCTTCCTGTGACCCCATCCCACAAGATCGCGGGGGATCATTCCACATGAGATCTGGGCCGGGTTCCATGGGCCAAAGTTCGCCTCGCAAGTTCACAAGCTGCGGGCCCTTTGGGCAACGGCCAGGTGTGGCAGGTACCAGATCTCAGTCATCTTCCAGGCGCGTGCGCGGAAGATCGTGAGCAACGGTTTCAACGGGAGGAAGGATTTGTAGTCTATCGTCGATTTGGGGAGGACGAGACGGTCCAGTTCGTTTGGGTTCCTTACAAAGCCACGGCGTTGTGGATTTGTTTGTGTCCCCAAGCAATGCAAGCCTTTTCACTTCGGGCCTTGCCCGCAACCAGCTTGGGTGCGCGGCTTCCAAAGTTCCGACTTTGGACGTCGCGCGTTGGGAGGAGTTCTTCGGGTTTCCTGGCATGGCCATGCCATTTCACTCGCCACTTGCAGGCCTGCTGGCAAAATGAGCTTGCGAGAAAAGACGCATGCGATGCAGCCAAGCCGTGAGCCACTGAATGAATTTTGCAGGTGATTCACCATGGGACGGCTCAGCCCGAGTAGCAGATCTGACCGAGTCGAAAGCGGTTGAGTTCTCAGTCGCCATGCTCCATTCGCGATTTTATGGCGCGGAACTTTCGGCTCAGGCGGCAAAGGTTGGTTTGCCTACCGGCGCGTTTTTCTCGCGCCGCCGCCCTCGGTTACAATGCAGTTCCTCCGGCTCTTGCTTGTGCTGGCGCCAGCTTGGGCGTCTGGGGCCCCGGTTGGGCGATGGGTATGTCTGAGGTGGTTGGTTTGATGTTGTATTTGAATAACAGTTGTTTGATGTTGTATTTGATGTTGGTTGGTTTTGTTTGGTTGGTTTGTTGTATTTGAATAACAGTTGGTTGATGTTGTATTTGATGTTGGTTGGCTTTGTTTGAATAAGTGTCTTGGAAGGAACAGAACAGTCTTTGGCCATTGTCATGGGTTGGATAATTTCACTCGGGATTTGTCGGAAAGCGAGTATGGTGCCAACCCAAGTCGAGAAGCGGTGACACCTGACGTGCCGTTTTCGGGCCCCTTGGTGTTCGATATTTGAGTGTGTCTTTTGGCTGTCACCGTCTTCTGCACATGGTTGGGCCAAAAAAAGTGGCATTTGCAAGGGGGGTCCCCCTAAAAAAGACAAAGTGTGAGAAACTGAGGTCCCCTTTTTTGTGGGGGGGACATCCCCTCAGGAAAACACGCAGTTTGAGCTTGTTTTTTCCCGGCTTCCGAGGTCCGATGTCACTCCTGTCCAGAAAGTGTTGGGCCTCATGGAGGGCATGAAGGCCAAAGGCAAGGAGGAGATGGTGGCAGAGCAGGAGCAGCCACTCGCCAGGGACATTTGGTTTGGACATGCAGTTGTGGGTGCGCCGTTTTTTTTTGGGGGGGACCCACAAAAAGGGTGGCTTTCCACTTTCGGTTTCCCTTTAGCCGCCAGAAAAGGGGTACCCCCAAAAAATGACAGACCCACGTGGAATGCTTTTGGGTCCCCCCAAAGCAGATTCCTCGAAGGTTGCTCGCAAAGGGATTTACTTCACTGCAACTCAACATGGACCCCAACAGGATGGGGGGGGCAAAGGGAGAAGATTGATAGTTTGTTGGTTCCATGTTAATCTTCACGAAAGTAAGCAAGCCAAGGGGGTGGAAAGTACGGCATGAAGCACCCGCCCCGTGTGTGTGATAGCGTGTCATAGCGTGTGATGGGGCGTGATGGCATGTTGTAGGATATGTACTGCAAGAGCTTCCATTTGCTCCAGAGTAGCATCTCCTAGTTGCCTAGACGGAGCTCGCTGGGAGCCTTGTTTTTAAACGAAGTTGGCATCTTCAGCAACGAGGCTTCACTTGGCTGGTGATGCTCGCGTTTCCAATGAGCCCTGGTTCTTGTTGACAAGGCGAGCTGGGTCAGCGCGACATGTCAGTGTCAGCTTCTTTCCACATGGCAAACATGCAGACGCACCCTATAGCTTGCTGGTGCTCAGCAGGAAATGACCCAGGGTTTTGGGAATGAACCGGCAGGCGGTTCCCTTAAAGGAATCCAGGTCTTTCCCTGATTCCCTGCTGAGAACCAGCAAGATAGCTTGGCTTCATATTTGTCGCCGCATACGTCTTTAGTGGGACGAACACATCAGAAAAAGGACAACGCTTCAGGACCTTTCGTGGGTTCATTCCAAGGATCGTGCATCACGTTGTCGGTGTTTCCTCAAATAAGGAACCACTCTTGTTGATACCAAGGATGATATATATATATATATATATTTATCTCCACCACAAAAATCATTACGGTTCGCTTGTTTGGGAAGCACCCATGGGTCAAGCTTCAGATTCTCTTCCGAGCAGACACCTACCTCAATTCTTCTTCACGGTTTTGGTGCGGTCATGGCTGATCTTTGGAGGAACCTCAGCAAAGAACCTTCCCACAAAGCTCACCATTCTTCAAAGGCTCCAAAAGCTCTTGTTTGTTTCTGCGTGCTGCTGTGCCAGAATCGTCTATTTCCCCTTTCTCGGATGGATACGTCTTGTGGGTTCTGTCCAGCCCTATCTGCACAACTGGGCTCGGGTGAGGTGAGTCCCACTCCCCCGAGGTACGCCAAGTTCGAGCAGTTCTGTGAGCTGACGCTGGTGGAGAAGGAGCGGTCCATCGGCGACGCCAGCGACAAGATCGGGTCGCTGGAGGCCGGAAAAGCCGCGGCGGAAAAGCCGCGGCGGAGAAGCGTCTTGGGAAGCCCGGAAACAGGGTTGGCTGGTTGGGTGGGAGGATGGAAGGGTGGGTGGGTGGGTGGAGGGGTGGGTGGCGGCTGGTTGGGTGCGTGGACGGTTGGTTGGGTGGGGTGTTGGGTCCCAATCTCACGCGCTATAGAACCTAAGTTGTCCCCTTTTGAGAGAACTAAAGTTCCGAAACCCAGGCCAAACTAAATCTATACGCAATAAATTCGGCACCCAGCCAACGCCCGGCCAGAGCCCCCAGTCTCCGTTTGAGCCACAATCAAAACCCGGGTAGATGAAGGTTATTGCAATCCCAACCATAATAGCTGCGGCCGCCTTCTTACTTCTTTGCATGGTTCTGGGTCGACCATTTTGACACTGAGGTTTGGTTATGACTCATTTGACCCCCCCGCCTCTTCCGCGTTTGCCCTGAGGCGGAGACGGCCCAGGCGGGCAGCGAGGCGGAGCGCCTCGGCGCCGAGGCGTCGCAGCACGGCGAGGACGCCGCCACCGCGGCGGAGGAGAAGAAGGCGGCCACGGAGGCGGGCAGTCGAGAGGCGTCGTCGGAGGGAGGCGTCGGCAGTGGGTCGTTTTAGAATCCAAGACGCTAGCCGGGTGCCTCGAGATTCGTTTACTCTCTCTCTGTTTAAAGGAATCGGACCTTTTTAAATGTCGCAACGTTGTTTTTTGGTGGTTTTCTTTTAATACCACAAAAGTGTCTGAACAGAAGAAAAGAAACACCGACTTGTCCAATGCCAAGGCACGCACACAGAAGGGACACATAAGGCACATACATGCTCAAAACAAGTGCGAACCCACAGAAGCACGGACGCGGAGGGGAAAGAAGCTGGAATTGAGGAGGGGAAGCAGGGCAAGTGAAGGGAGACGGAAAGGGAAGGGAAAGGCAAAGGGAGGGCAGGGACACGGAGTGCGATGATGGCAAAATGCGAACGTCAGTCCTGCGTCAGAAAATGGGAGTGCAAGTATGTGAAACACAAAATCTAGTAAGGAGAGCTGGGCACTGAGTCATTCATCATGGCCTTTAATTTGGACCTTTAGATGAGCACACGCAGCTAATTTGGTTTATCACTTGGCAGCTAACTCGCTCTTGAAAGAGGTCGGTTGGGCCAGTGGTTCAACAGATCTCACAATAGTGGCTAATAGAACATTTGGCACAAACGGGTTTGGCTACTATGTTTCATGGCAAAGTCGTTTGGCTATTAAGCCTGCTAAAGCCATAGTCATGCCTTGGAGGGTCGCTCTTACAAAGCTGCATTGCTTATTTGGTTGGGGGTTGGTCGTGCTGGTGATGATATACATATATATATATATATCAACAACCGACAGCATTGCTGGCAGTCTATTCTTGGTTTTCGGGGAAGAAACCGGGGGCTGGTTCCAGGTGCGGCAGAAGGAGCGCACAGACTTCCAAACCACCTTGGAGGCACGGCGTTCTTTTCCTTTGCTCCTCCCCCCTGTCAATATGGGCCCCCGAATCCGATTCGGGAGCCCCGAACCCAAAATAGTTGGGAACCCCAAAATGGGCTGCCCTGGTCCACTGGTAAATGGAAGAACATGGACTAAAAGCTGCGGTCCAATTCCTGGTTTAAGTTTGACCCATACTCATATAGTAAGGCACCTCTGAATTGCTAGTCATTCCAAGTTATGATCAGCCATTCGGGGTCCGCGCAGCACTTTAAAACCACCCGCTGCCTTTGGCCTCTGGACAACTCGAGGGCCTCCGCAATAGCGCGGCAAGCTCCGCAAAAGTTTAGGTGCCTTGTGTCGGGTCCTCCCCTGCAAATCTGGAACGCAAAGGGGTTGCCCCGTCGAAGCTATGTGTTGGACAGTTGCACAGCTAGAGGAGCCTGTTTGGCTTCGGTGTTGAGTTTGGCTGCTTCAACCTACTCGTGGATCCTTGGAGTGGTGTGATGGGGAACAGGACATAGCTCCCCGGGTATAGAAAGTGTACCCAAGGGCCCCAATCAATATTTACACCAATGTCAGCCTTTTTGCGCGTTCAAGCGCACTTACCATAAAACGATGGGCGCAGTTGACTTGCACAAACAAGAACCTCAAGTGGCTACCTTTCGCCCCAAACAATCAAGATCGAAAACCCATCCATTTTGATATTTTGTCGGTCTCCCTATTTTGATACATACCCAGAGTTCAGTGAGCAAAGACCGGGAGCAGTGTCTCATGGAGATCTCCCCCAAACACCTCTAAACTTGGTTATTGCTCAAAATGATGGGGCGAGGCTCGCTTTTGGGTAGTTTGAGGGTCCAGGTAGTGGCCTCTGCTTAATCCAAACCACCAAACGGGCGGTTCCCAGCCATATGCTTGCACTGGACCTTTAGTGGAGGGTCTCCAGGACTACACAGAGTCCATCGACGCCATCGGACGCGCCACCAAGGCACTCAAGGCGCAGGACGGGCGAAGCGGTCCGTCGGATCGGTGGTGTCAGTGTGTGTGTGTGTGGATGTTGGAGAGGCGAAAGGGAGAGAGTTTTTGGGCTTGGTTCTAAGGGGAATTCAAGTTGGACACCATTAGTTGCGAGGGTTTCCTTTTGTGGGTTTAACTGGTCACTTGACGAAAATAGCTCGTTACTATAAGGCTAACTGGGATGCACTGGGCACAGAGCAACTAATCCACATCATCCTGTCATACAAAGCTTGTACGGGTGGCCAAGATTCGGTCTTTTGCTTTCGGAGGCCATGCCTGATGCCCTAAAAGTACTTGCTACTGACGGTTGCAAAATCCGCTTCTCGCACCGTTCAGAAACCTGGTTTCTGATTACCTTGTGAATACCAAGAAACGTTCACCCTGGTTTCATTTCGTGGTGCGAAGGGATTTCGCAACCATCCACAGTATGCCCAAAGTGTGCAAGTCCAGACAGGTCCAGAGCCCGTCCAGTCAGGTCCAGAGCCCAAGATGGCTTTTCGCTCGGACGGTTTCAGTCAGGAGCCATGCAGCAATCAGCTGTTTGTGTTTTTTTGTCACACGTACCCTGTTGACCTTGCTTTAAAGGGAAGCCACAAGAACCAACGACTCGTGGTTGTGTTTTTTGTTTGAGGATCGCCCACTTTTTCTGTGGCTTTAAACAGAAACCCAACAGGAAGCCCACCCTTTTTTTGGAGGGCGGTTCCCCAAAAGACGCACCGATTTTGGGGGTCCACTTCCATTCGCCTAAGAATCTTTGTGTGTCTTATTTTCACCTGTTGCTATTCAAGGGAATCGAGTCCACCAAGTATTTGGACATACTTTTCTCATTTTTCCTCACATCTTTTCCAGAAAGCCAACAAAAACGCAAGTTGGACGTCCAGATCCCTTTGACCCGATCCACGCCCCACCTCACTTCGACAGCTTGCGCACGTGAGCGCGCGACTGACTGGCTGCAGGACAAGGTCTCGCTTTTGCAGCTCGACGCGGCGCGGCAGCTGAAGCTCATGCCGTCTGAGGCGGTTTGGGAAGTGGCAGATGGCTGTGGTGGTCCAAACTGTTTTGGGATCCCATTTTGGTTGGTAGGTGAATTCACCACCCATTTTAGAACCTATTTTAGTGGTTGGATTGGGAGGTTCACTGGGGGATTTGGATTTTGCCCCATGGCCAGATTTTTTGGCCTGGGCCGAAGCCAGGAGTTTTGGTTGTTAGAAACTCCATGGCGATTGGCCATGACTTGGGACATCTTAAGAAAGATGAGCCACCATGGTGGTTTTGGTGGAAGATCGACCCTGCTTCACCTGGTTGTGCTATTTTTTTCTCATTTTAAGGGACCCTTTATTAAAGCAAGCGAGCCATGCAGCACCAGGTAAAAAGGGAGTCCTTTTTGGTGGTTGTTTGGTAGAAAGTCGAGGGCGATGCCTGGGTGACCTGGTTGTTTCATCTGCCTGGAACGATAGGAACTAAAAGGAAGGCCATGACCAGCACCGGGTCCCAACCTCTGCTGTTTTGGTTGGGAATAGCAGATTGACGCGGAACTGAAAGAATCATTTGATTTAGAATGATGTTTATCTCAGGGCTCCTTACAAAATACATTTTGCCCATTTGAAACATGGCTCTTTCCACCAAAATAAAGGGAAACCACCATTTACAAGGCAATGTTCAGGTGTATAATGTAAGGATCCCCGTATCTCTTGTTGAGTTCCGTTTTAATCAAACTCGTCCACAATTGGCAAGACAGTTCCACCCCAATTTCTGCCAGGTGGCGGACAAGATCGAGGCCTACATGGCCGCAAGCCAGGCGCGAAGGGACGGCAGTTCTTCGACTTTGACGGTTTCTCTTTGGTTGAAAATGAAAGGATCCATGGAAAGCCCCCTACAAGATATATTGTCTTAAAGCTATATCAACATTGCCAGTCGACTCGAATGGAGGGGGGTATACATGCTTTAGTACTGTTGAAGGGACTAGCCTGCGTGTCATGCCGATTGTCCAGCTGAAACAAGCCAGCCTCAAACTGGTGCCACAATAATTACAACCACTTCGTACTGGGCCCAGTCGCTATGTTTGGTTCATCCACGTGTCAAAAATCGGTCAGAGGGCAACCTCGGGCCATCCGGGTGCAGTTTTGCCCACGGTGAGGAGAGTGGAGGTTGGCAAATGCCTTGGTCGCCCTGAACGCTCGCCAGGGACCCTTTTTTTTGGCACGCGAAGGGAAACCTGCATGAGAACCACAATTTGTTTGTTGTTTCTCTTCAAATTATTGGAGATTGATTTCCTGCCCCAAATTCTGCGAAACACCTTGACAGACCAGGTGCTTCGGGGAAGTCCAGCAAGCAACCAGTGCTTGCTTCCACTAGGCCACCAGAGGAAAATTGGCACGGAAAACCATAGGGGAAATCCCTGATTGCCTATGGCTCCTAGGAGCTCCATCAAGCATTAACACGGCTCAGGGGCTAGGAAATTGCGGCTTCGCCAGGAACGCGCTTGTCAGATCTTTGGGCTATGAATTTTGATTGGAGCCCATTGGTGGAAATCCTGTTCATGGGGATCTACCGGGATTTGTGTCCAGCCTCTTTTGTGATCGTCTTTTGGCGGTTGACCGGTTGCGACTGCGAGGTGTGTTTTGTTTGAGGGTGTCTTCTTTTGCTGGTTCTACATGGAAACCAGCAGGAACACCACCATGTTGGGTGTCGGATTCCCAACAAAAGACACCCTTTGCAGGTGTTTGTGTTGTTCTTTCCTGCGAGGAGAGCTTGCTGGCAGAGTCTGCAGCACCCAAGCCAGCAACCTACGAGTTCCAATCCGGTGGCGTCATCAGCATGCTTGAGGGCCTCCAGGCCACACTTTCCGACTTCTCACATGTTGGGATTTGTTACTCGAAATCCGCCGCTGGGGTTGTGTCCTTTTGTCCTTTTTCCATTTTTTGGAAGTTGGTGTTGAAGGGTGGGACCCTTTGAAACCAACCAACAAAAGTCCATTTGCCCTTTTCGCCTGGGAATCCAGGCGACTTTCTGCAGGAGATTCCTGGAAAAGTGATCAATGTGAATGGTACACTTTGGTATCTCAAGACTGACTTTCCATGATATGCGAATGGATGCGAACCATGTGAGCGGAAGTTGCGCGCACCATTCTTGCTGCGGATTGCAAGAAGCAAACTTGAAGGAATTCCGGGGCCAGCTGGTTTGTGAAAGTATTCCCTGTACGATTGGATGATAATGTATGATGAGCATATGTATTTGCGTTGGTCTCTTGATTGCTTATTTGTTTGTTTTGTGTCTTGTGTGTTTGCGTGTTTGTTTCCCTTTGTTTGCATGTGTTTGCAGTTGTTTGCATTTTGTCTTGTTTTGTGTTTGTTTGCTTTAGTTTGTCTGCTTGATTGCTTCTGTGTTATTTAGTGTGTGTTTTGTTTATGTATTTGTTTGTATGTTTGCTTGATTGCGTTCCTTGGCTTTGCTTTGTGAGCTTGCTTTCGTGCTTGCTGCTGGGTTGCTGGCTGGCTGGATGGCTGGCTGGTCTGCTGGCTCGCTGGCTTGCTGGCTTGATGAGTTGTGTGCTTGCTTGTTTGTGTTGCTTTGCATTGCTGTGCTTTCCTTGTCTTTTCTTTGCTTGTTTGGCTTTCCTTTTCTTTACTTGCTTGGTTGATTGCTTGCTTTTTTGCTTGCTGATTTGTTCATTTGTTTGTGACTCCACATTGAACGAACTGTACTCAGTACACTTTTGTGAGTTATGGGTGTGTTGCTCACATTATGCATGATTTCCATCATGACAACACTGCTGCAAGAGTGATACAGAGTTCGGCATAAGCTGGAGCCAGCACCATGTCATGTACAATGCCAAACAAAATCCCCATCGCCTTGTGGGGCCCCAGAGGTGAGTTTCCCTTTGGGCTGATGATTCCCCAAAGGCGCTTTGCGGTGAAAGAAAACTCCCTAGGTCCCCCAGTAGTGCCCTTTTACCCTTTTTCGGGGGAGGGTTCCACTACTAAAATACCCTTATTCTACTGGAGGACCTAGCTCTGCACAGGACAAGTTCCTGGATGAGCGCAATACGCTGGAGCAGGAGGAGCAGGTGCCAGCATTCCGTTGGCTTTATTCCTATGCTGCAGGGCTCGTTAAAAGATGCAAAACTTTGCCCATTTGAAACATGGCTGTTTCCACCAAAATAAAGGGACACCACCATTTACGAGGCAATGTTCAGGTGTATAATGTAAGGATCCCGGTTGGAGGTAGGTGAATAGAAACACGGAGCACATCGCATGAGGGGTCAGGGCAGCAAACACAGACAGGGTATCGGTTGTGGGTAGGTGCGCTATTGATTTTGCTTAGCCGGTTGGTGGGTATCGGTTTTTGGTTTGGTCTCTCTCGATTTGGTGGTAGTATGGTCGGTTACTCGCATGTTGGCATAGTCTCCTCTCACCCAGTGCTGACATCGTGGTTCAATGTGGTGGTGGTGAGATCCCAGTTCTTGTGTTGCTGAACTCGGGACAGAGGAATTGTCCAAATTGATGTATCTTCAGTTTTTGCCAAGAGGCCGCTTAGGCTCCCAGGAGCAAAAGGCATTGGTCCATTTGATCTGACCTGATGCTCGTCCAGCCATAGACAACCAGGGTTTTTAGTTTCCAAGCCGCTTGGGAGATCCTCTTTTGGGGTTGCATGTATGTTTTTGGAAGGAGAATGGTCTTTGCTGGTTTCCATTAGCTTGCCAAGCATAGTGGTATTTCGGGCAGAGCTCAGCATGAGCTTGGTCTCTAGAAAGGCCCCCTCTCCCCGCAAATGGGTGGCTGTCCACTGGTTTCCAAACACAGCCCCAAAATTGGGAGCCGTCAAATGCGTATGGGTGACAATTCAACTGCCAGGGGACCTTTTTGGTTTTGGTCCAATTGGTCCCATTCAACAAAGTTGTAATCGGGGGTTACCCTATGTTTGACCCACACCTGGCTTCCTCTCAGTTGCCTTTACCCTCAACAGAGAGTTCTCATCAAAAAAAGTACTCCCGGAGGTATGCTTCCCAAAAAATCGGATACACCCACAAATCGACTCGAACGCAGGCCAAGAAGCACGCCTACGAGCTGCTGGCACAACGGTTGGACACCCAGAAGGCTCAGTCGGAGAAGGAGCGATCCGATTGGGGATGGGAGGCTGGGTGGGGGGGGGGGGTTTCTCAGAGCAGATATTTGTGTGTGTATAGGTTTCCAAAATAAGGGCCCCCCCCCCCCAAAAAAAATACCGGAGAACCAAATCATTGTGTGCAAAAGAGGTGATGTTTCCGGTTGGTTTGTTCCAAAGTTGTATAGGGGACTCTACATTTCGTTGTAGGCATATGAGGGTCTCTCAAAACCAAGGGACCCCCAAAATGATTGGTTTCCGATCGGTTTCCCTTCAAGCGCCAACCAAACGGGGTTCACCGTTTTGACAAACACCCAGTTGTGTGCCTGTGTGCGCGTGTGTTGAAGGATGTATCATGTATCCTCCATATGCCCTATGCAAAGACCATGGGTTCCAAATCCTATAACCCTGTGTCATGTTGTTTCGACATTATGAAGGCATGGATGAGATTGGGGAGCGCCTCTGTTTGGAGATCCTTCGTGTTGGGTGGCTAACGATAATGTTTCTGAGAAACGGTGGAGTCGGGTCAGTTTCTTCTTGCGCATTCGACTTGTGCACTTGAAGTTCAGGCTACCACAACGTGCCATCCACCTCCCAAATTGCAGTTGTCCGGCGGTCGAAAGAGAAGCCCCGCGACTTTCGTTAAGGGCCCGTCCCTTGTTATGTTGCTTTGCGTGCCTATGCAGATGCAGGCCCGGAACGCTGTACACCAATGAGGGAAAAACGATACCCCGTAGCAGCCAGGAAGACACATCAGGTGCCAGTTATTGTCGCAAGCCAAGATTGCAGACTCATATCTTCGGGGCCCGAGCCTTTGATGTTGGACCTGCTTTAATATGTCCCCCCCCCCCTTCCCCCCCACCACCCTTGAACAATGGAACCAGTCACCGGGGTCCTCTTTAGTGGAAAACCTGGGGGTCGGGGTTCGACTTCGACTTGCCATTTCTAAAGTTTAGTATTGCCAAGCCGTACTCTCAGATTCCCACGACTAAATTTAGCATTGCCAGTCTTAAAGCTTGTATTGCCAAGACTTACTCTCAGATTCCCAGTACTTAATTTAGCAACTCTAATTCATCATTGCCTTTACCCTTTGAGCTGGAAAGAGCTTGAAAGTAAAAAGGCTAAGGCTTTAATTTTGGAATTTCAGTACCCGCCCAAAAAAGTTGGACTCTAGATAACCACAGCGTCTTGTGGGTTTTTGTTTTGTGACTGTTTGTTTTTGTTGTGTAAATAAGTGTTCCTTTAGATTTGCTGGCTTGGGGACAGCTTCTTTTGCCCGGATTAGTTTGCTCGGTTTTTGTTGGCCGGTTGTTGGTTGCCCTGATTTTTCTCGCCAACACAACTTGTCATTAAAGCGAACCCCAAGGCAGTCGCAGGATCCTGAATTAAAGCGGGCCAACATTACCCAAACCGACGCCCGACCGATGGCCAACTCAGTCGCTGTCATACCGAATCCAGCCAGATGCCCCAGAGGTGCCACAATGCACTGTGTGTGCAACACGTTCGAGCTGGAGCTGCCAAAGTGCCCGTAGTATACTGCTACACTTAGTGCTGAGAGTTGCGACTTTCGAGCTAGACGCTTCTACTGAAAGTCGCGACTTTGAGCCGGAGCTGACACGTGCACCACCCTTCTACCGAACAGGTGCGGGTTTCGAGCTGGATCCGCCAAAGTGCAAATTTGGCATACGGCGCTTTCGTTTAAAAGTTGGCGTTCGACCTAAATCTGCCAAAGCGCCGCATCCCTTCAAACCCCGAAGTCCCAAACTCCCAACCCCCCAAGCCTCCCCCCCCCAAGCAACCTCCCCCCCCCATTCAATTCGGGCCGAGCTGAACGCCCGCCCTCCGTGCGTTTTTGTTTCGCTCGCCCGCAGGAGCAGAGCTCCAAGGAGCAGTTCAAGGCCAAGAAGCTCCAGGCCAAGGCCTCCGGCGAGGCGGAGCTCGCGGAGACCAAGGCCGACACCGATCGCTTCGATCGCTTCGATCGCTTCGATCGCTTCGGGCGGGCACGGGTTGGGTGGGAGGTTGGCGGCAAAGAACATGTTAGACTTTGTTCGGCCCATGGAGGTGTGTCCAAGTCCAGATGTCTTTTTTGGGTCAGCATGCTTGAACATAGGTGGATTCCTCTGGTTCAGATTTTGAGTTTCCAGTGGGACCCATCTTCGGAAAGGACACCTCAGCACGTGCTCAGCTGGTGAAGCGAGCTTACCGATGAAGATCCGTTGCCAAAGGCTCTCCTTTTCAGGTCTTGAATTGTGAGGTGTTGCTTTCGATTGGGAGCCCCAACCTCTAAGGGTACCTTCCATTTCCATTCTTTCCAGGGATCCAAATCTTTCTAGAAAATCGCAAAAAACCCAAGGAAAACGACCCTTGCCTTTGTGGCTCAAATGAAAATGGGCGGAGGGGGGGGCTCATGACTTCCAGCCACTGATGAATGGTCAGCACAAAGGTTCCCTTTTCTCACTTTAGTAGATCCACCGAAAAACTGGTGTTTTGGAGGCCTTCCCTTTCTCATCTATGCCATCTGTGCTTCTTGGGGACTTTGTAGACTTCAACCTGAAGGCACGTGTTGCCAATGGCTACCCTTTCAGACGTGCGAAAAAATGTGTGAACGTAGACCATGGTAAAGGGAATGGCATTTCAATACTTTCAAGACAGTACTAGGCTGGTGTTTGAATCCCTTTGACAGGATGACACATCCCTTTTACCCATGGTGAAACATGCCAAAACCAACCAAACCAAGCCAAATGGGGATTCCTTGGCAAACCGATATGCCCGCCGTGCTTGCAGCTCACTGCTCAGCCAGGCTGAGAAGGAGTCCGACGTAAAGTACTCCACCGATTTGCTCCCCGGCATGGGGAGCGATCAGTGATGCGTCGCTGTGTTGGGAACGAACAAATGTGTAGTCAACCACATTTGTATGCCTGATGTGGGCTTGTACATGTGCAGTAATAGACGTATGATATGATATATATATATATACATATATATGTATCCATATCTAGACGTATACACATCTATACAACGAACAACCAACTCTTATACACAATATGATCATGTATACACATGCATACATATTATATCTATATAATATGTACACATATATATATATATGTATATATTTGTATGTATACACATGTATTTGCACATACATATTAGAAATATATGTAGGTATATATATATATGTAGATATTTGTATGTATACACATATATTTGCACTATATATATATATACATGTATATATATATATATATATGTGTTCCTTCTCCTTGCGCTCCGGTCGGAGCGCCTCAGGAAGGCCACGTGCGCCAAGAAGAAGTCGGCCTTCGCTGAGCGCCAGAAGCTGCGGGGGGAGGACTGCCAGCGGCGGCTGCTTCGGCCTTTTTGTTTGAGGGCGGTGTGAGGGCGGTTTGAGGGCGGTTTGAGGGTCCAGATACCCAGAAAACCTCAATGTTGGATCTTTTATTTTTAAATGTCTTGAGATGATCCAGGTTTTCCCACAAACAAAGACCAACCAACATTGGATGCCGGGAGCGGCAAAATTTGGAGGGGTATTTTGTTTAGTTTTTTTTTTTGCACAAGACACACCAACAAGACCCACCAACACTGCGTGTTTTTTTCCCCATTACAAAACTTTCGACGTTTGGACCCCCCCTCAGGTAGCGAAAGCTCGTGCTCGCAGGAGCTGGAGGCCATCGGCAAGGCCATGGAGATCATCTCTGGCGGAGCGGTGGCCGGCGGCGCGGAGAAGCATTTGCCCTCCCTGCTGCGGCTTGGATCGCTAGGGAAGGGGGGGGGCGGGGGGGGGGGTTATGCCGGTTTCAAGTTTTTACAACCGGAACTCCGGTTCCCAAGTCTAGATGCTGTGGTTGTCAAAACCAATGTTGCCATTTTGGTTGGTAGGTGCACCACCCGTTTTAGTCTATTTTAGTGGGGATTGGGATGTTCACTGGGGGTACGGGCTTTTGACCCATGGCCAAGTGCCAAGTAGGGTTGCTGGGTATGTTCGAAGACGCTCAGGGCTGGGTTCTAGTTGTTTGAACAGCTCGTGCCCCTTTCTGCTTAGGGCGCATCCCCGCAAAAGGGATTTTGCATTCTATGGGAAGTTGGGCTTGTCCACAAGAGTTTGTTCGGTGTTTTTGGAAATGAATCACCTTCAAGAAAACTCAACACGGTGAATATGGACTACTCGGACCATCAATGGCTACGAATCTAAACAGGGATCCACCTAAAAGTGGTTGGTGGACATGAATTTCCAAAAGGATGCCCATCGAAGAGCCCCACATAAGAATCATGCCCACTCACGTAACGGGTTTCGGTTTGATTGCCATTTGCACGCTTGGTTCTGGGACATGTTTATGATTGTTGGTTGCAAACGAATTCGTTTCTACTGTTATCATGGTACCAAAGCTTCACTTTTTCAGAACCTTTTTTCGAGGTGGTAGGCACCCCTTGGCTTGTTTCCTTTTGGCTCTGCGCGAAGGCCGTCCCAAAAGAGGGCCGCAGTTGTTAGAAAGGCCCCATATATCAATGGTGGGGTTGTGTTAAATTGAGGGATCCCCCCCAAAAAAGTGCGGGTTGTATTTTGGCTCGCTTCCTTACGACCAACGCGGGGTTTCCCTAAAACACGAGCGATGTGTTCGCAGCCCGGAAACGGAACTCGAGAGATCAGGCAGAGCTCCAGCGCATTGGCCTTCCTGCGATCTGAGAGCCCCAGGGGTCAGGAGCGGATCCCGCCAAAGTGTTTTTTTTGTTCTTGTTTGCTCCCCCAATCGACTTGCTTGTTTTTTTTTTTTTTGTTTTTTTTTTTTTTTTTTTTTTTTTTTTTTTTTTTAATTAGTATTAATACTTATTATCTTTTATTTTTTTTTTTTTTTTTTTTTCTTTTTTTTTTTTTTTTAATTACGTATTACTATTATTATTATTATTATTATTATTATTATTATTATTATTATTTGGTATGTTTGCTTATCCGCGTTTTTGGATGTTTCCCGGTTTGAACAATTGGGACTCTTGAAGGGAATTCCAGTGACAACTGATTATGGGGTGGCTTTAAAGGGGAACAAAAGGCAAAGAATCAGTTTTGAGATTTTAAAGCCTATTTTCAGACACCACCCCAGTGGCCTATATAGTTCCCCTAAATAAGTCGTCTATTTCGGTCTTTGGGATTTTTCAAGTGGACGACATGCAGAAAATATTGTGTTCTGTCAACCCGTCGGGTATGCGTTGAAATAGGGGGACTCTCACATGTTTGGATGTTTTCCGTGTGGCTCCCCTTCAGCCAACCCCAAAAAAGGCAAAAAGGAAACCCAAAAAAGAGAAACAACACGCCCATGTGTCTTCCAGGAGGCCGTTCTGCCTTGTTTAAGAATATGGTTCAAACAACCTCCCTCTGGTTTCGTGTTGAAGGGGACCAGGGGTCGGTTGTTTAAACAAGAAAATGCCCAACCGGGCTTTTTTTTTGGTGCTTTCACTTTCATGTAGGCAGTACTTGAGGCAACAAAGTACGTATGTGTGCAAAACATCGCACCACCTCACCTGTGGCGCTTCGCTCCTTGCCAGGAGCAGGTGGCGCGTTTCCTGCAGCAGAAGGGCGAGTCCTTGAAGAGCCGCGTCTTGGCCGCGCTGGCGGTGCGGGTCTCCGCAGACCCCTTGGCCAAGGCGGGGCCGAAGGATCCGAAGGATCCGAAGGGCGGGTTGGCGGGTTGGCGGGTTGGGGGCGTTGGTTTTTTGGCCCTTCGGCCAATTTGGCCGAGGGAAAAGTCGGGCATTGGGGTGAAGTTTAACGGGGCCTTGGTGCACATGTAAGTTGTGCGGGGATTGGTGTTCCAGCCGCCTTGCCGGTTCCAACTCTTAAAAGTCATTGAAGTCATTGCAGGTGAAGACCATGATCGAGTCACTGATCGTGAAGCTCAACGAGCAGGCCAAGTCAGAGGCTACGAAGAACGCCTGGTGCGAGACGGAGCTGTCCAGCAACAAGCAGCACCCTGCCATGAGACATTTCGTGGACGAATGGGGTGCCCCCTGTTCCCACGATCCCGACACGATTTGGGTGATTCGGGACCCTCCAAGTGGGTGGTGTCCTTTTCGTTTCCCCTGAAACCATTCAAAAAAGGATCTCCTATTTTCAGAACCCCCCCCCTCTTTTTTTGGGGGGGGTAAACGAAATGTCTGAATCAGAATAATTATCAATCGACATGGCAATCTGTCCCTGAAACTTGAGTGAGTCCTTTGGGGCTTTGACAGAGAATGCCGCCCTACCAATGAGTTTCCCCTCGGGAAAGACGACCGTTGAAGAAAGCCAGTTACGCATGCAGAAGTCTTCGGAATGTCGGAACGGCGACTTGACTTCGGAGCCATGGCATCCTGTCGGCTCAAGTTTGTTTGTTCCATGTCGCAGTTCTTGGACGTGGATCCAATTGTGGCAGTTGAACCCTTTGTGTCCAAATGAAAACAGAAAGAAGCGAGAAGCTGTATCTTCAGATCAAGCAGGTTGACAACATAATTGAAACAGAAGGTGTGGGATCTTCTATCCCTATTCGACATGTTTTGCCGTCGGGTGAAAGGGAGATACTGTCCAGGGTTTTCCAAGGAATGATATACTAGAGATTTCTCAACGCAAATCAGTGGGCAGACCCAATAATTTAGCGTACTTTGCCTGCGCAACGGATCCCCATGCTTAATGGGTTTTGTTCCTCCACTAAGTCACCAACATGGAAGTGGACAGAACCCACTGGTTGGCATGTGAAAGTGTCCTTGTAGCCAATGTTTTGCGTGTTGTTTGTGGAGTGGTTCTACTGCCTGGGTCGTAGTGAGAGGGCCAGACATAGTCCCCAAAATGGGCCCCCAGTTGTATTTTGGTTTCTCTTATAAATACACTAACCACCCTAACCCCCCCCACCCCAAAATAAAAGCACAAAAAGGAATGAAGCCCCATTTGTTTGGCTGCCCTTCCCAGAGGCAAAAGGCCCTCCAGCCCCACCAGCGGGGTCTTCTCACGTCGTTGCAAGGACCCGCGAGGCCAAGACGGACGCGGCGGACTCGCTGCAGGCGGAGATCGATCAGCTGAAGGCGTCGGTGGCGAAGCTGACGGACGAGACCGGCACCCTCGGCAAGGCGGGGGAGACCTCGGGGCGCGAAACGGGGCGGTCGGAGACCTCGGGGCGTGGGGAGAAGAGGGAGCGGGGCGCTTCTTTTTTCTGGCAACACGAGTGCTTTGCAGGTTTCAAACTATATAATATAGTTGGATTCTTGTCAATTATTTTCTTGTACCAGATTCTTCCATTTCCAGTCCAAGAGGCTGATTCGATTCTTGCGCAGCACTATGATCTTGCCCAAACCTCCAAAGCTGGACACACTGACAACCGCAGCTAGAAAACCCTCAAACAGAGTCCAGTAGAGTCCCTTCCAAAGGTAGATCCATGCTGACCCTATGCGTTTCATGTGCACGTCTCCCAGATCCATGTGGCCATGGGTCAAAATCCCGAACTTTCAGTGAACATTTTAATCCAACCCACTAAAGTTGGTTCTAATTTTGGGAGGTGGACCTCCCAACCATTGGTTTGACAACCACAGCCATGTCGCAACAGCCCCAAGGGTTGGATTCCAACCGACGCGTCGTATGCCACCTCGACCGAAGCCGAAGAGGCCCTCCGCTTGCCAGGAGCTGACGGAGCTCGCGGCGGCCATGGCGCAGGCCACGGACCTGCGGACCAAGGAGAAGGCGAAGAACGCGGCCACCATCAAGGACCACACCTCTTTTCTCTCGGACGGGTCTCTGGATGTGAACAACTCGTGATTTGTGGTTTTTGTTTTTTCTCTCTCCGTGATTTCTGGGTGGTCAACCATCTTCTCTGGAAAAAGCCCGGGAAGCCTCTTTTTGTTTTCCTCTCCGGGAGTTCGGGGTGTGCAAGCCATTGTGCTCGGATCGGTCTCCCGGTGTGAAACACCCCGTGACGTGATTTCTGGCTGTTCACCCCCCATTTTTGGCATCTATCCATCCGTCTCCATCCATCCATCCAAAGATGAATAAGATGATACTTCCCTCTAAAATGGGAAGAGTTGCCCATGGTCATTTGGGTATGAGTCAAAATTAAACCAGCAGGGGCCTTTTTCGGTTTCAGTCCATGTTTCCATTTACCAGGGCTTGCCCCATTTTGGGGTTACCCTATTTTTGACAACCACAGCCATTTGGGGGCCCTAAATGGAATTTTGATCAACCCCTGAATCTATCCATTTGGCGAGGACGCCAAGGAGGCGCAGGCGGCGGTGGCGCAGGCCTTGACGGTGCTCAAGGACTGAGCCGCGAGAGAGCGGCCGCGGAGATCCGCTTGGAAGAAATGGGCCCCTCTAGTGGTGTGCGTGTGCGTTTGTGTGCTGTGTCTGTGTGTCTTGAGGGGGTCGCTTCAAACCCAAAGGAGGGGTGGTTCAAATTAAGGTCTTTTTGAGGGCACGCAAAAAATGGGTTGTTTTTTTCTGGTCTCCGTTTGAACACCAACCAACACAAGAAGGGCATCCTACATCATCCTACAGCCATGAAGAAGTTGTTCCTTTTGGCTGACGTCAGGATCCAAAAGTTCAACAAATTCAATCATCGGGATCAATCAACTTGTCCCAGACAGGACGCAGACAGTCAGTAAGTTTGCGTGGAGGAAAGGGCGGTTAGGTTGGTATCCGGCGTGGACCTGGAGAAAGGGGCAGCAAGTTGGCAGAGCTGCTTGCGGAAGGGACAGTTAACCCAGTTGCCCAGTGGTGCCTGATTTTTTTTTCTCCGTTTTTTTCGGGGAAGGGTTCACTTGAAAGTCAACCCACCAAAAACAGGATACCCTTTTTTCCCCTGGCCACTGGGCATCTGAGGTGAGATATCAAGTTAGTAAGTTAGTATGCTGGTGAGTAATTTAGTGTCGCTGCTGCTACTGCCACTGCTACTGCTACTGCTACTTCTACACTGCTACTGCTACTTCTCCTACTTGTACCACTCTTCCAAAAGTTGCTACTACTATTATTACAATGGCTACAACTACACAAGATAAGTACTATTGCCAATGTTATTGTTGCTACTTTTGCCCTTACTAGCCCTAGAACTAGTACTAGTGCTAGCACTAAAATGACTTCTGCTACTGCTGCTACTACTACCACCATCACTACTACCCACTACCTATGGCTACTACTACTACCACAACGATTTTTTTGTTTTACTACTGCTACTTAGTTACTACTACTACTACTACTACTACTACTACTACTACTACTACTACTACTACTACTACCACCACCACCACCACCACCACCACCACCACCACCACCACCACCACCACCACCACCACCACCACCACCACCACCACCACCACTACTACTACGGCAACTACTGCAACTACTGAGCCAAAGCTGTTGTATCCTGGCTCATCTTTGTTTGATCCCTCAGCCGTTCCTTTGACAGCCTGCGATGGGCAATCTTTGCTCAACTGAAACTACCAACCCCTGTTTTTGAGGGTACCACAAAAAAGGCGCCCCTTTGACCATGAACAGTCAAGGCAAATGGGTCCCTTGAACAAACGGACTGTGGCAAGCAAAAAAAATCCCAGAACTCCAGCGGGGTCCAATCCAGTTTCCCTTTGTTTTTGTTTTGAGGGGGTGAAGCCGTTTAAACTCAACTCCTGCAGACAGATTGCATGTGTGCCCGCGGATTTTTTTTTGCTGGGGGTCTGGGAAAAGCAGGTTGTGGTAAAAAGGGTCCCTAGAAAGGTGTGGTTTCCTTTGGGTTCGCTTTGACCACCAACCTGGTTCCCCTTAGGGGGTTGGGGTGCCAGTTGTGGTCATGGCTCTTTTGATAGACAGTCCTTGTGTTTGCATAGAAAACCCCAGGAAAGGGTCCATCACCACCCCTTCCCACCCCAAGTAAGGGAGTCTGTCGGCCATGGCGCATATGGGGTGTGCCATGTCGAGGGGGTACCTTTTCTAAGGTTGGTTGAAAGCGAAGCCAACAGGAACATCACAACCAGCTAGCCTAGGGTAAGACGAGCGCAGCCATGACGAAAATGTCTGACTCATGGTTGCCATCCGCAATTGGCTGCCGTTGGGTTTGCCGATGACCCGAAAGAATCAAGCTGACGGAATTCCCCGCTGAAATGGAAGTGCCACTGCGGTGTTTGGTCATAGACTTTTTTTCCAGAGCTACAGGGGAGCCATTGCCCAAGATTCCGGATCGGGCCACAAGTTTTGGCTCCCCTCCCAGAAGAGAGGGGAGATCATTTGGTGCCTTCTGGCCCATGAACATGGAATTTCACCCACAGATCCTGGAGGACAAGGTACGCTTTGGTGGGTTGCATGTTAGTGGACTTGAGGGTACTCAAGGGGTGAATTTCGAGGTCATTCAGTACCTCACCCAGTGGATCCCCGGCAACGCGTGTAGTAGGTAAGCCTTCGCCATTTGCAGCTTTTGGTTTTCATATCGGGTGGCAAGCCCTTGGTTACCTACCTGTACTAGGTTCCCAGACACCCATATAGTAGGTCACCCTTCGTCATGCTCCTTTCTTTTGGATTTTACAGGGTGGTTCTTCTGGTGACCTACCTTTACCCTCCCACCAACCAACATGGAAGTGCAAAAAGGCCCTTTCCAAGGGGAAAATAGTCTTGCAGGGGTCTGTGCACTTCCATGTTAGATGGTGGGAGGGTACCAGGTGAATGCGGCTCCCCGTCAGGGAAAGGCGCCCGGCACCAAGCTACGCCTCGTTCCCGAGGACTTCTACGCCAAGGCCGCGGATGCCACGGCGCTGGTGCAGACCAAGGCGCGAAGGTGTCCTTAAGAATAGATGGCACTGGTTTAGATGGGGTTTATTCCATCCAGGGAATCGGTTTTTCCAAAATGCCACCTAAGGCGCGCGACTCCGAGTTCGCCACGCTTCCGCTTCACTCGGCTTTGGGCGTACAATAGGAATAGAGGAAAAATTGGGAAATGACCCATCCATAAATGTGGCTGTCTTTGGGGAGTACTGACATTTATGGGCAATTGTTAGCAGGCCCCCCTTCTTGGATGGGGAATTGGTGGCCTTTCCGGGCAATTCATGGGCATTGACATTGAGAGTTATGGGCAACTTATGGGCATCGGCAAAGGCTGCATTGAGTCCGTCATCTTGGAACTGGGAAGAATTGGTTGGATCAGCTAAGAACTGGGCGTCTTTTGGTTACGTCAAGCCTGTGGGTTTGCTATCAGTGATATCAGTCCTTACCGGTCGGTCTTGCCTTTTGAGGTCTGATTCAGCTGACATTGCTGTAAAACAATCCGAGAGGGGTTCATGCCTCCAGTGACCACTAGTAATGTTGACCTCAGATTAATATGCTCGTCTTATTACTTGGGTGGTGTCCCCCCTCAAGTGTGATTCAGATTCCCACTAAAAGGGGGGCACCCTATTGTTTTAAGACTGGGTGGAAGCCATCCACCAAACCCCCCCATTGGCACCGTGCCGGCCGGCTCTCCGAGCTCCACATCCTTCAGGTGCACGCGGGCGCCCCGGAGGTCTTCGGAGATGAGGCCTACACCGGCATGGGTGGCGAGAGTGGCGGTGTGCTGGGCATGATCGAGGCAGGGTGGGGGGGGCTATCCCGGGATGAGAGGGCAAGCCCGAATATGGCCCTATCAAGTGGTATGGCCTTAGTAATCCAAGTGTTTAGGAAGGTATAGGTTTGTACAGCCACATATATATATATATATATGTTTTATACCTATTTCATTCAGATGCTACATACTGTTATGCGGCTTGTTTTAAGGCTTCGTAGCTGCAATGTACACTATACGGGTACACACACGCACGGATTAGAACGCGTGGACAGTTGTGGGGAAGGCGAGACTGTGGCGGGCTGCTCGTTACTTCGAGTTGTGTCCCAGATGGTGCCCTTTAGCTCGTGACTTTTGGTTTCGAGCGTACACAACTACCAAGAAACAAGTGTCCATTTCTTGCCTGGCCACCGGGAGTGAGTTGCCATATTATTCAGGGCGGCAAGGGAGACATCTTCCACAGCCGATGCAGCAGACATCACAGCAACCGCAAGGCAAAGCAGCGCAAGGTGGTGCGCAAGTGCCCAAACTCATAAGCGTTCATAAGAGCAAGACGTTTGGGGAAGGAAGGAAGCAGTCGTTTGGGGACTTGCTGGGACGACTTGACCCGGTTTTGCTGGTTCCAAATGAAGTTCTGACGACTGGTCCAAGTTCTGGCGCCTTTCTTTGAGGGTCGACTTCATGTCGCATGATTGCAATTCAGATACACGGGGTTGTTTGCAAAAGAACCAGCCGAAGGAAACGCCTGTGGGAAACCCACTCAGTTTCCGTGTTGCGGCAAATTCTTGGGCTTAAAAGGGGAAAGCCGAGAAAGGATAAATCCCCATCCGACTCCATTTTTTGGCAGCGCAGGTTTTGAGCAATCGAGACGGCCGTCCGCATCCACCGATCGATTCCATTCGCAGGTCATCGAGAGCGACTTCGCGCGATTGGAGGCCGAGACCGTGGCTGCAGAGGCGGCCGCCAAGAAGGAGTACGAGGCCGATGCCGCCTGAGTCCGGCGGCTGAGTCCGCGGCATGTGAGGGGCTGGGGGGCATGGGAGATGGGGCAATGGGGGGATGGGGGGGTGGATGGGTGGTTTTGGTTGGAGACCACCTGAAATAGGGATCATAGGGGCGAGTGGTTTCCCATGGGCACAGTTTTTGGGCCCTTTCGGAAAGGGGCCAAATGAAGTACACTAAGGGGACACTTCAATTGCTAGAGTCCAAATTTGGATCTGACTTTGTGTCAGGGACCCCTTTGGATTTCCGGACCCAACATTGAAGCGGTCTCTGAAATCAGTTTGTACGCCAGGAGTTCATGGAGGACTCCAAGATGGACAAGGCGCGGGGATTCGGTTGTCCGTTAGAGGTGATGGTTTCCAGCGGGGGCCTTCCAAAGCCTGTCAATGGGGAACCAACATTGGCCCACACAAGGACACTTCAGGTACATGACCTGGACCACCCTACGCAACTGACCTACCCGAGACTAAGTCTACCTTGGGCCTGGTGCCCACCCGTAAATCTCGAACCCCGAGAAGCTCAAGAGAGAGGGCTTCACATGCTTAGGGGGTTTCTCATATATAGGGACAAACCAACAGGACAGCTTCAAGAGGAGCTTGATCTTATAGTGCTATCTGAGCGGGAGGCAGTGTAACCAATAACTTCTTAACTACTGAATACTTAAGTTTGGAAGTGTCCAAAAAAGCGGGGGGCTGCCCCTGAATCTGACCAGTGTTCATTTTGCTTTGAAAGCCTGCAGGCAACTGGGGATGCATTCAGAAGGTAGCAGTGCTTCAGAATGCCGGTGGATCACTCTTGACTTTGACTTCAAACGCCATAGCTTGGGTGCCTCGTAACACAAGCACATTGCTAGAGGATCCCTTCACACGGCCGGGGGGTTGTATTCAAAAAGAACCCTGCAAACACGTCAGCTTCGCTTGGCTTGTTTTGGGTTTCTATCGAACACGGAGCCCAAACCTTGAGGCAGCAGCGGTACATCGACTCCGTGGTTTTGCATGCGCCGTGCGTGGAAGAAGATAATATATTTATAGGTGGGACATCTAAAGAGCCGCTTTGATCCTCATTGATACTCCATGCCAATGATAAGTAGGTGCAATGGGTCTCTTTGGTGAGGGTTTGCCTTGTTTGGTGGTTTTGAAGGGAAACCAACCACCGTTGCGCCAGCTTGGGGGGCCCCGCTAAATGACACACCCGACCAGGGCAGGCAGTTGCTTGTCACCCAAGTGCTGAGGCGAGCAAGGAGGCTGCCGTAGAGCAGAAGACCAGCAAGACCTCCTCCCAAAAGCAGGCGGGACAGAGCGGGAGTCCGCCCAGCCCAGTGCTCACCAACAAATCGCATCCTCGGTATCCACAGTTGCCCAAGTTGATTCCGCCTTCTTCTTTTTTTTGCAGGGGGGAGGGTTCCACTTGAAAGTCAACCAACCACAGAATGGATGTCCTTTTTGCTCATGGCCACTGGGCATCTGAGTTTCATTCAAAAGGCCCAACAACATGGTTTGTCCGTCCCGCACGTGCTTTGTATGGGCTCTTTCAACACGATGAAGGCTGTATTCGGTCCATTCATCAAAGTCCCATAGTTCGCGACACATAGAATATAATATATGTGGCTCAATGAGGCGGGGTGCAGGTTGTTCAAAGATGCCTTTTGGACTGTTGTGTGACCTCTTTGGAAAGGCGAAGGTCGGCGAAGACAATTTGCACAGGACCCATGGGACCCTTTCATTTTGACCAACCTAGAAATGGACAAGGGGAGAACGGCACCCCAGCCTTCTTTGTTTTGCACAACCCTCGCGCAGAAACAAGAAAGTACGCCCAGGTATCCGCCCTGAACGCTGCTCCCACCGCCAAGCTTATTTGAACCACACCCAAACCACCCTCCGGAACCACTCCCAAACAACCCAGTGATCCCAGGCAAACCCATGTAGTGGGGTTACCCGCTATTGTCAACTTTGGGTTTTAGCATGGGGTGGTAAATGGTCTGGGTAAATGGATCCATGGATCCACTCGGTGAGGTTACAGGTAAATACGGCTCCGCTGGGAAACCTCAGCGCTTCCAGCTGCGAAACCAACAATTCCACCCCGCGCGGCCATCACATTGGGGTCTGGGGGTTCCTTTCTGCCACCATGAAAAAACTCTGGGGGTTCCCCTTTTTTTTCTTTCTCCACCACCTGTCTACCTAAGGGATTGTCATGAAGTCATCACCATCAAAACCAAAAGGGGTTCCTTTTTTCCACCGTTGTTTACCCCAGGCATTGTCATGAAGTCATCCTCCAAACTGGGTAGCAAAAACTCTGTTTTTTTTTCCACCATTTGTTTACCTCAGGGATTGTGATCAAGTCGTTTGGGTCCGTGCCCTTCGAATCTGGACCCGTTGCAGCCAGATCAGCCACAATCAAAACCCGGGTAGATGAAGGTTGGTAAGGGACAATCCCCTTGCCATAAATAGCTGCGGATATCCGCCTTCTTAATTCTTGAAGCATGGTTCTGGGATTTGAAGCAATCAGGGTGTCTGGATTTTGGGTTCTGGGTCGATCATTTTAGTACAAGGTTTTGAGCAAGTGACTCAGCCAGGAGCTGACGGCTGCGAGCGGAGACCTGGAAGGCACCCAGAAGGAGCTCGCCGCGGCGGAGGCCTACTACGAGAAGCTCAGGCCGGAGAGGGCGCCTGCGGGCGCCTGAGGGCGGAGAGGGAGGGCGAGGCCATGGACAACTGTTTGGTGCAGTTTGCCAAGGGGTGTTTGGACTTTAAGTTTTTGCCAATTAATGGGTTTGCCATTAAACCACTAAAAGTTAAGCTTTTAGCGGGGGAGCAGAAAGCAACCGAGAACCCGTTTTGCTCGGGAAAACGATTCGGAGGCGCTTTGGTTACATGTGGAGTTCACAGGTTCTTCCTTCCCCCTGTGGGTCTTTTTGTAGCATGGTGGGTTGGTACTCCTTTAACATATCCTGCAGGGTATGGGTTTAAAGCCACATCCGAACCGGTTTCTAGAGTTTGGGTGGTCGGTTTAAAGAGAAGCCGGAGGGAAACCATGCCCTTGTGTAGGTCCCGGACACACCCATATTGCTCAAGACCATGGAAGTGGTATGGGGAAAACATGATGTTGGAAATTGGCGACCAATCCACTCAGTTGAAATCAGGAGTTCGCTTTGATCAGCTGGCAACCTTTGATGGGGCTGATCGAGGCGATGAATAGTTGCTGCTTTCCCTTCTGGCATTCAAGGAATATTATCACTGGCACATATGATGGCACTTGAAGCAAGCGGAAGCTAGCGTGCTGTCCAACCTGGATTGCCCATGTGTGTGTGTGTGTGTGTGTGCACGAGCAAACGTTTTGTCAAGCCATTGCGGCGAAAGATTGTGACCGCGGACGTCCCATGCTTCAAGGATCTTCCCAAGATTGGGCCCCCATTTGCTTGCCAGCCCTGGGTTGTTTGTTTTACCATGCCCTATGATCCCAAGACCTCATTAGTTGAGGCTTTTGGGGGTCAAGGCCCTCATATTTGGGGTCTTAGGCTGTTAGGGATGGTGCTTTTTTTGTTTTTGTTTCCCCCCGTTTTCAGTTTCAACCAGCTGCAAAAAAAAGAGCTCGGTTTGGGTGTCCAAGTTTGATGGTTTGGCACCCGGCTACATCGTTTTTCGGAGCTCGTTCTGGTTTTTCTCATGAGGGGACCTCTCGAACCCATGGTTCCCCTCTGGTTTCCCTTTAAAGCAATCCCAAAAAGGGAGTACGGCTCGAAAGACAACACAGCAGTTCACCCCATGCGAGAAACGCTTTCCAGGCCGGACTGCGTGGACACTGGGGTGGCGTACGCAGAGCGCAAGGCACAGAGGGAGCAGGAGATCGGCGGGAATACATCGAGTTCGAATCCAGATCCACTCATCTATTAAAGTCTTCAATCTCCTGCGCCTGCGGAATCTGATTGTACTGCAAGTGGCCCAAGCAATAATATAATGAGAGGCACTGAGGAGTACTGCATAAGTCAAAGAGGGCATGGCGCAAGGAGTCAGGAAGTTGCTGCCGTTCAAGCTGCTGCGTGTCAAAGCCCGTCCACAAATGGAATCACCCCAAGAAGGCTCCCATTCTTTTTCGGCCAGGATCACAGGCCAGGGGTGGAATTGCGATTCTAGGAGTTCGGTTTGTGCCCAAGGTTGGTTAAATCATCATCATGATCATGTATTTTCATTGCCTGGTGGAAAAATATGATGGGTTGAGCGACCAAAAAGGCCGCCAAAAGAAATGCCTACCTCATGTTTTTGTGCTGGGGGGGGAGGGTCGACCCCTTGGTTTCGAAAAATCCGGTTGGCCTCTTGGAGCAACTTGTGGTGAAGGTTATCCTGTCAGATCGGTGCCAAGCTGGTCCCTGCATCTCGCCTAGATGGAAATGTGACAGGAGATGAAGGACCTGAAGGAGGCAATGGAGATGCTCAGCAACCTCTAAACCGCCTAGCGCGAGGCGCAAATTGGATGAATCCGAGGTTTGGAGTGGGCCAGGGAAAATCAGATGTCAAAACAAAGGGCCTGGGCTGGAGGTCAAGGAGGTTCTGCTGCAACCAACCATCAAGGGTCCAATTTCGAACCCCGGACAGGCGGCAGGTCATTTCTCGGCAGTTGCAACGGACAGCTGGACTTGGTCTGGCGCTACACTGAGACCATCAGGCCACACCAGATCCACCCCCACTGGTTTTCGCTGCATGGGCCTTACTCTAAGCCCGACGCGCAACTTATTCATAGGGAATTGGAAGAGGACGGGCTTTGGGGATCCAGGGTTTGGATCCGAAGCACCGCAGACGTCGCAGCTTGGCCCGAGGCGTCGCCGAAGGTCAGCCGGTCAAAATGCGACGCGTGCGGCGTGGGACGTGGCATGGCCAGAGCTGGATCTTCCGGGGCAACTAGCGATCGGGGGTAAGGAGAGCATAACACATTAGATCCTTCACAAGCGAATTCAACCAGTGACAATTGCCGAGTATGTTCATTTGCCCAGCCTTCTGCTTGTTGGTACTGCAAACCGTTCTGAGTTACCCTTTTGACAAGTGGAGCAGTTGCGGCGGGTCTCGGTTCGTCGCGGCGGTTCCTGTCTGTCTGAAGCCGCGGCATCCCTTTGGGATGATCAACTCATTTGAGCTTGCCTCCCGCAGCTGCATTGGGGTTGCCAAGCAGAATCAGAGTCGAGCATGAGTCCGAGTTCGCAAAATCCACCAGACAGCCAGACCAAGGGATACCAAGCTGAGCACTGATCAGCCGAGCAAACGCATTCCGCCCCCCCGTTTTGACGGACGCTTTTTTGCCGCACGCTCCCTCCTGGACAAAATGAGCGCCGCGCTGCAGCCTCAGACGGTCCGTCTGGGTGGTCGGAATCCCGCGGTAAACGGGTGGTCCATTTCAGACGAATTGCAAATGCCCAGAACTTCCCCGACCTAATTTAAGCCAATAATTGCCTGTTCCCAGAAAATGTACTTACCACCTCAGATTTATTTAATGTCCTTTGGAAGTCTCGGGAATGTACACAGCCAGTTCATGTTTTTTTTGGATATGGGGTCAGCAACCCTGGGCTTAGGGTGGTTCGCGGGAGGGGCAGGTAATGTTGACCCTGGATTAATAAACCCCTCCCATTTTTAGGGGGGTATTCCCTCCAAAAGTGATGAATCCCCACTAAAAGGGGACACCCCCCTATTAATCAACCTGGGGTTTATTAATCCGGGGTTAACATTAGGAATGTTGATACGCACTCCCGGGTCACCCAGTCACTCTCATAGCGCAACCCCTACTTCAATCCTTGGGTTTGTGGCCATTGCCTGGCCATTTCCTTCATGTTTGAGGTGTGACCATTGCCTGACGTTTTACGTGTCCAATGTGGGAAAGTTACACAGGATCCGCCGTTTCAGGCCCTCAGGGTGAAGATTAGTTTCAGGAACCGAACCAAGAGCTCGAGTAACCAAATGGTGGATTGGCCATTGTTTTGGAGCGTCCCCGGTTTGGGGAGACCAAAGGGAAACCACCCGGTTCCCACTTTTTGAGCTTCCCTCAAAAAGCATATCAATGCCGAGCATGGATGGAGACGACCACCCAGAGGGCGTTTTCCTTCTATCCCTGAACTTGGAGCAAGATTCCTCGTGAGGGGCAGCCCAGCCAGGGGCAGTCAACTGTTCACAACAGAAGCTTGGGATGCTTTGTGTGTTTGTTTTCCTGGCTGTTAGCACTCAGGTCACCCTTATTTGGTGGTGTGGTTTGGGGATGTGAACCTCTGAAACTTGTAGGGGTAGATGGGGGGCGCCACTCCCTAACCAAACCACCGGGCTCCAAACCACCAATCGGCTGAAGAACATTGCCAAAGCCCGAAAACCAGTGATGTGTGGTCACTGGCAAGCGCGGCTTAAATTGCGACGCGACCCATGCACCGGGATCAAAAATTCACATGATGTTTGAAAAGTTTGCCGTAGTCCAACAGCACAACACTCAGCTAGTCCTGGCATTTGGACCAATATGACTGTCTGACCATGTCGTCACTGCTCGTCTGCAATGTGTTTTGTTCTTCGAGCTTTGCTCTTTTGTTGATGGTTGTTCATTATAATTGAGAGGCTGCAAAGAAGCATTGCTTGGTATACCAAGGGTCGAGCAGATCTCCGAAATCCTGGCCCTCAATTTTGGAGCCTGAGTGATTGATGCATGTTTGTTCGACATGGCACGATCCGAGACTATTACAGGTACTATCAAACCAATTGTGTCATGTCTTGACCATAAGGCAATCCAGAGTGTAGTCTTTGTATTTTTCTTGGACGCCCTTCTACATGATCATTAATACGCATATATAAGAATGCGCATATATCAATAGTGTATATTTTGTTTGGGTATGTGCTGTAGGACCCCAGAATGGTGGTTTTCTTCCCGACGTCCCTGCTGCATTGCACCCTCGGAAAACACAACCCCATAAAGGGCCAATCTGTGAGCGTTTCTCAAGATGAGGATCCCCTCTGGCGGTCGGGGTTTAAAGGGAAACTAAGAAAGAAACAACCATTTTGGGGGGCCAGTATTTTTGTAAGAACCCCCCCCCTTGTATTAATTGGGTCTACAGAACACCCAGAAAAAAAACCGGCGGCCCAGGCAAGTGCCCGGCGTGACGGAGCGACTTTGGGATTTTGCCGAATTGGGGGGCGGGACTTGGCGTGACTTGGATGGTTGGAACGGGCTCAAAGTGAATTGACGTACCTGTCGGGCTTCTCTTAGGCCACGTTAAGTCGTTAGCTTTCGAGGGTGATCTTGATTTCCAGGTCATTTGCAAAAGGATGGATGCGGCAGGTTAGCCATGAATCATATTGCTGGATTGGTCCTTCGGGTGCTTGTCGCATTGAGACTCACGTCCTTTGGCTTTAGTATCTTGCCACCTCGGAGTTCGCCCGATGGCGGGGAGTGAGTTGCGGACTCCGTGTTGCTTGCGTTATGTGGCTTCTCTCTTTCAGGAGCCTCCGGTTGGTTTCCTGTTAGAACCTCAATTAGTTTCCTTTTAGAACTTAACCTCCGGTTAAGTTGTTACCGGTTGTTTCCGGTTGTTTCCCAAAACATCAATATGAGTCAACCATTTAGAGAGACACTCATTTCTCTTTTCGAGTCCACAACTTCGCCTGGCTTCCATGGCACTGAAGGCCTCAAGTGACTCCGGGGTGCCAGAGAGGAAAATAAAGTGCCGCATGTTTTGTTTGAAGCTTTAATCCGGAAAAGGGGAGGATCGAAAATCCGGTTGCGCAGTTTTCAGGCTCGTCATTTTCCCACCACAACTATGCTGGTACATGTCCTACCCACCCACCTGGGGACCGAGGGCGAAACGCCTCCACATTGAGTTTTGGGCCCCGGCATTTGCGGTGTGCTGATTCTGGGAATCGATTTCGTTTGAGAAATCTGGGATAGGCAGCTGCTTGGATGGTGAACCATTTGGGGTTCGAACTTCAAACCAGCAGTGGTTGGCCAAGTACCTAAGGTACCCCGTTTCATCCCTCAACTATGGTGCCGTTACCTGTCCCGGACCTCGCCAAGTTGAACTTCCGCGTGCTGAACATTTCTTGTTTCCCCCTGGTTCTAAAGATGCAAATTGTTTTGCCCAGGGGACTTAAGGGGATGGAAGGGAACCAAACCTTCCTTGACTGCTATTGGGTTGGATCTCTAGACTTTACCTTTTGGGGCAATCAAGTTGGAAATTCCACTAAACTCCCCAAAAGTTAAGCTTTTTGCAGGGGGGTTAACAGCAACCAAAGCTTCCCAAAAACCGCGCCTCGCTTCGGACCTTCGGACCTTTGGACCTTCGGACCTTCGGACCTTCGGACCCGTTCCTGGCGCCGGCTTGGATCGGAAGGACCGGCGGTGGGAGGGCGTCATCGCCACAGTACGCCAGGACAAAGGCTTCGGCTTCATCAGGCGCTCGAGGGAGTTTTTCGCCCGGGGGGCGGGGGGGGGTGGGGTGGGGTGCGGGGGGGGGGTGGGGTGGGGTGGGGTGGGGTGGGGTGGGATGGGGAAGCCTAAGGTCAGCTTGGTTGGTGGTTTGGCTTCGTGGAGGTTTCATGTGGTTTCCCATTTGCGCTAAACTTCCATTTGCTTAAGTTGGTTTTTTTCCCCTGTTGGTTTTGAAATCTATCACTGCTGGGGAAATATTTTTTCCAGGGGTCTTAACCAAATGGAAGTAAAAGACCAGGGGCTCAAATCCAAGTCCTAACCACCATTTCGTTGATGCCACTTGGGGGTCCGAGTTGATTTCTTTGCAGACCGCACGTTGGTCAGGTCTCCATAGCGCCCATGCGCCAGGGTGGGGACATGTTTTTGTTTTCCTTTGTTGGTTTTCATGTAAGCCCCAACCAAAAGCGGGTCCGTTGTCAAAAAATGTGCTTTTGTTTGTGTGCGGGGGCCCCCAAATGATCAAGTCATGAGGATGACCCACATCGACAGCAGAGAAAGGGTGATTTTCCACAACCATGGAGGAAAGGGAACACGCTGAACGGTGGCCAAAGGCTGCATGTTGGTCATACTTACAACCACAACCCAATGTGGTTAAATATCACCCATGTGAATCCTGTGGGATTGATTGAGAAGTAGCAGTTTTGGAGACCTGCAACTCTTTCACTGCAGTGGGACTTTGACTGTCCTTCCGACCTCGGTTGAACATGTTACAGAAAGGCCCCCTTTTCACTTGAACATCACTTTTTGTTTTTCCGGAACTCCCGGACATGGGAGAGATAAAGAAAGCGGCCTGAATCTTTCATGGACTTCCAGAAATGAGAAGCGGAGGGTAGATGCTTGATATTGTGACCTGCGGAGTTTGCCCCCCTTTCGGAGTTGACGGAGTCCTAAAACTCGCTGCTGTTTTGCCACGGGTCCTTTGTAGTTCTTTTTCGAGTGAATTTCTACCCTTGCAACAAAGTCGCAGGGAGCGCATTCTATGCCAGTTTCCGGAGGAAGCAACCACTTCTTTAAGACTCCAAAGTTTGCCTTCGAAACATAAATGGGTGTGTTTGTTTTAGGGGGACATCCCTTAAATGGTTGTCTTCCTTGTTTCAAAGCCACCAAAAAAGAAATACAGTGCCCCCAACAAAGGGATGGACCCAATTGGGTGTGGGTCAAAAAAGGTACCCAACATGGAACCCTGGTAAATTGAAACAACCACCAAATCCTGAGGTCCCCTGGTCGTTTAATTTTGACCCATACCCAACTCGGCACTTGTTGAGCTGCGAGGTGCCCGGAGCTTCGGAAGATGTACCCCGAGAAGGACTGGGCAACGAACGGGTTTAGCTCCCTGAAGGTTCGGTCCAATAAACCCTTCCTCCAACTAGCATGGCACCTGTGGGGAGGTACCTGGAAGATTAATTTCCTTTTTCAGGGAGCCCCTGTCAGTTGCCATGTTAGTTGGAGGGAGGGTACCCCTTTTGTTTGGGCAAGCGGGTGGGACCCTTCAAAGCCACCTGCAAGAACCTAACTTTCCCTGTGTTGCAGGGAAAGCCACTCAACCTCTGGGTTAATTATGGGGGATTTGGTCCATTTTCAAGCTGTTCCGGGAGACCTTGAACAACTCACTCGGGTTCACGGGCTTGCTTTTAAAAGAAAGGCCTCACAGTGTAGGGGGCAAAACAACTTTCTTGCTTGTTTTCCTTTTTTTTTTTTTCGGGCAGTCAACTGAAGCGAGCCACATGTTGCCTGGGCTTTCTCAAAAAAAGCCTCGAGCCTCGCAAACACCTCGGCGCCGGTCCATGCGCGGATGGGTTCCGCGCGCGAGCGAGTGAGGGACCTTTTGGGTTTGTTCGTGAGCCAAAGGAGGGGTGCAGCCCATTTTTGAGATAGGAGACACATCCAGCAACATGAAAAGCTGGAGTGGAAACCAGCATTGTTTACTATAAGATCCGGCAAAATGAAGAGTTGGAGTGGAAGTTACCATTGTTTACTATAAGGATTATAAGGATTGGACTCCTGTTTTCTCCCCGCTGAGTTTCACATTCGGTTCAGGACGTCTTCCTGCACCAGCGGCATCTGGGCTCCTTCCGTGAGGGCGACAACGTCTCCTTCGGGGCTCGGGGACTCGGGGACTTGGGAGCCCAAGGACGAAGTGAAAGAAACGGCGAGAGGGAAATCTAAGGGAAATCCTTTCTGGTGGGGCCCGAGATTGGATGTGTGCTTAAGTAATATTCATGAAGCCTTTTTCTCTGGTGGTTGAGTAATGTTGACCCCATATGAATCAACCCCTGTTTATTCATAGGGAGTTGTCCCTGGGTGAAAAGTGGGGAATCCTCACTGTTGGAGGGGAACACCCCCGTAGTGATAACCTGGGGTTGATTCAATGGGGTCAACATTGTGCCAGTGCACCTTCGACCCATGTCGGCTTGTTCGTCCAAGGCTTTCTGTCGGACCGGCGGTGGAACCCACCCTTTGCTCCAGTTGGAGAACCGTGAACTCGCTACACGGCCTCCTTTTTGCTTCCAGAACCTTGCCGAACATCTTTGCAGATCCTTCCCCTTTTTGGCACAGCGTCCTTCTTAGACTACCCATGACTACCCTCCCACTAACATGGAAGTGCAAGGCCCTTTCCAAGAGGAAAGTAGTCTTTCTACAGGGCTTTGTGCACTGCCATGTTCGCTGGGAAGCTAAATGGAAAACTCCTCCACCTCCAAGCGCCGCGGTTTCCTCAGCTCATCGCCAAGCTCCGCAAAAAAAACCGGGGGCGGTCCTTTGAGCACCGCTCCCAGCGGATTTTTGGTCGCCAGGTCTTCATGAGAGATGGGAAGCCTCAGGCCACGGAGCCGCGGGCCTAGAGAGATGCACAAGCCGATTGGGAAGGACCCCAATGGCTGACTTAGAGGACGAATCGCCCAAATGCCAACTGATTCATGGCTGTCCTTGGGAAACTTGTTTGAGCCATTTTTGATCTTCTTGTGGCTTAGTGGTTGGACTTTCCAACCACTTAACTGCTAAGACTGAAAAATCAAAGAGTCCCCTTCCAACGCCACCCAAGACTTCCTGAGTTGCACTTAGCCCTTGTGTTGAGACCGCTTAGTGTGACAAGCCAGAAATTCGAACCTGGTTTTGTCCATCCAAGCGCGGGAAGTGAGACAAGGAGTGGGACTCTCTGAATCGGCTGGTGGTGCGTTCAAAACTGCGACGAAATGTATGTTTCGAGGGATCCTGTTGCGGCACGACTGTCACATACCCTGAGGGTGTACCCTGTTTGCAGACTGCATAACCCATCTAATATGTAGTATGCCAGGGATATTGTTTGCAGCAATTTGCATATGGTCAATGTAAGCGGGCATAAATTGGGCTCCCCATACAATTGGGGTACACTGGGGGTACACCCTCAAGGGTGCTGCGACATTAGCCCTCAGCAACACCAAGGTGTGCATTCCGAGCACAGCAAGATTTGGGCGTAGAAGGGGCCAACAACATCGCAGATGGCGTGCAGGATGTTTCCCAGATAGCGCCGTGCTCAACCCAGGGTTTGAGTCCTTTCCGCATGCGTTCAAAGGCCTCCTCCCCGAAGGAAGTCCAATTCTTGCTGAGGCCTCCTCCCCGAAGGAAGTCGAATTTTGCAGCTTCTGTTGATTGGTCAGTTTGCTTCGCCGGGCTTTCCAAATGTATTGCAATCCCTGCCCTGCCGAGTTTGGCGATGGTGAACGGGCAGCAGCCGATGCAGCAGCAGCAGCAGATGGCCCCGCAAATGGGCATGCAAATGGGCATGCCCATGGGCCAGGGCGTGCCTATGCAAGGCATGGGCATGGGCATGGGCATGGGCATGCAGATGGACATGGGCATGCAGCAGCCATCTATGGGCCGGAGCCTGAGCATCAGCCATTTTTGACTTATAACTTATAAGCCTTGAAAACAACATGTTGCAACGGCGTGTTGCTTGAAATGGGCGGAGTTTTCTGCTTTCTTTGGCAAAGGTTTCCTTTGCCGGTGACTGGATGGGCAACATAGGGTGTTCAGCTCAAGTCCATAGACTTGCAGAGCTCGGCTACCCCGAAAAAAAACACATGTGCCATGGTGAAAAGACAGATTCCTGTTGGGGAGAAAACGTGATGGTGATCCACCTGCTAGTCCTACAGAACCATTAAGGGAACCATGACCAGCATGATGCCGTCGGTGCAAGGGAACCATGACCCAATCGGCCATATGGGTTTTTTTGTTGGGGGGGGGCGGGCCCCCAAAATGGCATCGGTGGTCCTTTTGGTTTTTCCCTTCTAAACCAACCCAAAAGGGGTAATTACCGACTCCGCAAAAAGTCGACAAGAGGAACGCCCCACGTTTCGGGGATCCATGGCCATGGATCCACGACGGGCCCCGTCGGACCGGTTGACTGAGGGCATCCGCAGGTGGCGGCCTGAGAGACTTCGGAGATCCGATCCGGTGAGTAACTTGAGAAATGGGGGGGGGACTCTTGAAGGTAAGAGAGCAAGAAAATGGGTCTGTCGCAGTTTTAGAGGCATTTTTAGAGGACACCAGGAGGAATCTGAATCTTATTGGGGAGAAGTGAGTGGGTTCTTGAACTTTTGCATCCATGAGAGGCGATCCTTTACGATGAGATGATTCTGAGGTGGCTGGCTGTTTTTGCTGAGCTCGGCAGCAATGTGAACCTTGAACAGAATCATTTTCTATGTAATGGTTGGTCTCCGTTGGGTGTTCCTTCAAATACCAACCGCAAGGAGGCTCCGGGAAGAAGACAAAGAAACGCGGATAGAGCTTTGCAGGCAGTGTGGCACATGGCAGAATCTCAACTTGAAGCGGGCAACCAACCCTGGCTCGCAGCTTGCCAGGTTGGAGGAGCTGCCAGTGGGTATGTTGTTGCGTTTTTGAGCGGGCAACGCAAGCGAATGGAGGACGATTCGTCAAGTTGTTTGAGCTAAGGGGTCCAAGCAGTCTGAGAGTTGGCATTGTAAAAGGCAAGTGAACTCGCGCATGAGAGAGCAGAGGGTTTTTTTGAGCGACACACCCCCTGGCAAGGCAGCTTAAAGGAAGAAAGGCAACCTAGTGTTGTGTCCCTGACCATTTGTTTTTTCCGCTTATCATGATACTCTTTTTGAGTCACCCAAGGGCAGGAAGTGGGAGCACCTCAGTCTTCAGTCAGCGAGAGTGAGCGAGCAGTGACCGAAGTTCAGAGCTTCTGCGGCATCTCGGCTTGCTTCTCATGCCAGTCCGGAACTGACTGACTTTCAGGGAGCAGGGAATAGCGAAGCATCTGCTCAATGAACATGCATGAGCAAATTGGAGGGGAAAACCATGCACTAGTTTCTGGGGAAGACTGTAGCAGGCAATGGAGGAATAGTTGTCACATTGCGCTGTGCAGCTTGAAACATGAGAATGATGTGTGCAGATGTTGAGGCCAGCAAGTGCGCAAAGCGCAAAGGAATACCGAGGCGACTACTGATCCTCACATCGCTATTAATGTCTTGCTTGTACTGGCACGGGTATAGCTTGCACTGACTGGCAGGATTCCTTTTCTTAATTCTCGGATTGGGATGCTCCGGATGAGGCCGAAGTTAACATGATTCATTCCGGTTCATCCCGTCACTGCCTCGCGCGCTAAGATGGGTCAGCAAGCCCTACCTCCGCCACCTCCGCAGGCGCGCGTGGGTGTTTATGTTAGATTTTGATCAGTTGTTTGGTATTTTTGAAAAGCTCTTGTTGGGTCGTTGTACCGATAAAATCCAAGGGAAGCTCGACCCCTGCCTGAGTGCGACTGTATCAAAGCGCAAGAAAATCCAGACGTCCTTTTGAGGTTGGACTCTCCTGCCTTTGGCACACCGCTTGTCGAGGAGAACATTTCCCGAGACCTCCAGTACTGCCCTGTTCCCCTGTTTTTGGAGGGATTGCCCTTTAAAATCGAGTAGAGTGTCCACTTTTCTCCACGGCCGCTTTGAATTCTTCAAGCTCCACTGAAAGCTTTGGGACAAGCTTCTTGGTCATTGTGTTGGCTGTTTGGCGGTTTCACAGGCCTCGGGTGAAGGTGTAGACTAGATGTGCAGATGTCAGCCACCAGAAAACCCCTTTGAACATCTAGTTATCAAAATCGCCCGTGGTGGAGGAACAATATGGTACCCCACACTGCAAGGACACCTTTGAATGGCCAACAAAAATCGATAAGCCTCGGGCAACAAAAGGAGTGCCAGGACCAACTTGGTTTGAGTCAAAGGACAAGTCAGGGTGCCCCTGTTTTGGATGGTTTTAAAGGAAGACCACAGGAACTCCACCATTTGGGGGGGGTCCCCCGACAAAAAAAAACCAAAGCGCCCCCCTTCTTCCCAGAAAGAGGGTCCGCCCCGCCTCTTGTCAGGCGCCTCCAGAGGAAGAGGCGACTCATGAAGTGGAGGCGAGTCACGGATGGCCTCCTACGTTGCTGGTCAAGTAGAGAATGTGGGAATGAACCCAGGGATTCCCTTAAAGCGAACCACCAGTTGGATGGTTTACAAGGGTCATTGCAATTCTTATTCCCTGCCTATCGCACCAACAAGGTGCGTTGCCATGGCACCTGGCAAGGATATGCATGTTTGACAGGTACCTCCCACATTGTCATTGCATTTGACAGGGAAAGGGTCCGTGGACGGGGGGGAGGGCGGGGCTTCTATGCCAGCTTGCGAAAGGACAACCATATCTTATCGGCCCCTGGAAGGAAACCGGCTTCTTTTCTATCCGCAAAGTGGCATGTTGTCGTTTCGCCTTGTTTTGGCAAGTTGTCGTTCAAGTTAGCTGGCCAAACAGAAGCATTGTGATTAACCTTTTTCACCAGCAACAGGTCATGCGCAAGGCCATTAGAATTACATGGTCCAACTTGGCCAACATGGTGAGCATGGAGAGTCGATGATTCATTTGAGGACAGAGGGGAACTACCCAACATCACGCTGGCTGCCGCGTCTTTGCTTGGCCTGACGTGTCCATGTTGACGGAGCTAAAGATGCTCGAAGGACAGCATGTCTCATACAAAGGGTATTACCGTATTACCCAGCAAATGGGGGTGTCTTTTTGTTGGGTGCACTTGTTTGGGGTCTTAAAGGGATTTTGGAATACCACTTCTAAGCGTATCAGTTCTCCACAATCACAAACTTAGCCAAGAGCAAGATGTATGCCAGTTGCAAAAGAAGGAGGTTTCCAGGTTGGAGTCCGATTCCTCGTTGAACTTGACGAGCTTTGAACTTGTAGGCAACACGCACGGCTTTGCAGTGAGTGCACGCTCCGGCACTGCCAGGTCCCAAAAGAGTTCATGTCGACGCTGGGCGAGGGAGGCAGGTCGGCTGGGCATGTCGCGAGAGTCGCGACAGTGAGCGTTTGCAACATAAACCGGCGGGTGAGGAGTGGCCTTGAGCGTTTGCAACAGAAACAGGCTGGTGAGGAGTGAAGGTGCGATCTGGAGTTTGGCATTGGCTGAATGAGCTAGGCCCCGGCATTTCCAGAAGGCAGTTTGCTGCTGTTGTGACGGCATTGCCAGAGACCCAAGTGCGAGCCATAGTCCCAACATGTCCATTCTGCGGTGTCCAGCCAGGCGTGATTTCTGCAAAGCCACAAAACCTAGGCATTCAGCGGACTCAAAGAAAACTACACTGATTGGCCTCAACTTTGGTAAGGGGATCTAGATGGATAAGTTGAAAGGTAAGTCTTAAGCCTAGTGGGAGTAGCTCTTTGGCCTGGCGCTTCAGGATCAAGTTTGGCTCGCTCCCGCGCGGAAGCCTCACGCCCCTTATTGCTGAAGTGAAGGCGAATCATGAGGCTTCAAGTTAGCTACTGTGGGCCCCTGGAAACCGCATTCAGGTTTCAGGTTTCCTTCAGGAGTCGGAGATTTGTTGCTTGGAGAGTGAGTGGCACTTGAGAGGCAGTTGGACAGTTTTGCGCAAACTTGAGAGCAGCAGGCAGCATTTGTTTCGCAGTTGGAGCTAGCGCCTGGCAGTTGAAACCAGTCTTGCCTTGATGATCTTGCAGCAGTCGGGCCAGGGGTTGACCATTGAACCGGGCATCGATCTATGCCCATGCACATTCTTTTTGAATGCACGCTGACACCTGAATGAGCGCGGACGTGCCATCTGTCAGACTTGGATACGGAGCTCGGAGTACCCCCCTAAGTGACTATGTGGCCGAGATTTGGTAGGGCTCTTTCACTGCTGAGGTGCCACGAATTGTGAAGGATTCGCTTCAGAGGCTTCCTGACGACGAAGCTGCCCTTAACCCTTGAGCAGCGACTGACTTTCTTTGCGACTGGCTGTGTTTCTTCAGGCCCCGCTGGGTTGCATTTGCCTCGGCAAGAAGCTTGTTCCAATGATTGGGAGTTTGCAAAGCGCCAACATGGGTTTGTTTGTTTTGAAGCGTCACCTCAAAGGGAAACCACATGCAAACCCACCACCTCACGGGCTCTCCCGATGAGACAAACGGATCTGTCCTGACCTCCCTCGCGTATCTCTTTCCCAGGCGGGTAACGTGCACGTGTGTGCCGTGAGCTGTGAGCCACGTAAATTTGACCAAAATCTGCAGTTGAGCCAATGCCGAGATGACATGACATGATGCCCAAAAGCCAAGACCAGGAAAACAAATGGATCGGGTTCTTGAGAAATTTCCGAGCATGGCATAACATCTGTTTTTGCGCATTGTTTGTCCTTATCAGAGTTGACGTCATTGATATGGTTGCCGTTGCCTGTAGAAATGCTGACCCTCCCAACTGCGTGTGCTCGTGAATGTTGTCGCGTGCTCTTGCGGGCAGGCAAGTTGCAGCAGTTGAAGTACTTGGCGGGAGGAGACATCAACATCACTTTTCAGGCCGGATCGAACGTGGTGTCCATCTCGTTATGTTTGCGCGACTTAGGTGTTGTCTGCCTATGTGACTTCCTTGATGTGCAGCCTGTTTCATGCCAACCTCCATGAGGCCATGAAAGTTTATTTGCCACGAACTGGCAGGGAGGTTGTTGGCAGAGGGCCATTGCCGGAAATTAGCCAAACGGTCCATCAGACTTTGCTTAGTTTTGCAGTTCCTGTGTTTTGTTAGAAATCCATAGTATTCCCACTGACTGGTAGAGCATGTGACTGGAACTAGAGAACTTCGCGTTGTCTAAATTTCTTTGAAGACAACATGAGGGCCAATAAATCTAGTCGTTTCCCTCCTGGTGGACCTCTGTGAGCGTGTCTTTTTTTGAATCATTTTTTAGAGGTCCCCTAGTCAGGCTGTTTTGTCCAGCATGCCCCCCAAAGAGCGACCAGCGGCTTAGACAGATCCTCGCGGCCCATTGCTTGAACTTGTCTAGGGGTTGTGTTTGCCCAGTTGTTTGTTCTTGCGAAGACGAGACCCTTAGACAGTCTTAGAAACAAACCGACTAAATCCCTGCTTGAAGTTGTCGAGGGGGTGGTTGTTGCCTTGTTTTTTTTCCGCCCCAGACGAGAACCTTGGAATAAACAAGGCAACCCACCGCCAAAAAAAAGCACCGGAATTGCCGAACTCGGAGAAACCAACCGGAATTGCTGAACCGGAAAAAAGCAAACCGGAAAAAACAACGCGCCGTATCGCTCCAGAACAAGCCGGAGTTGCTGAACTCGGTAGTGGCCACCATCAGAGGGCCCAAGGCTGGAGACTTCCGACTGAGCGGAGTGAGCGGGTGAGCGGGGCAAGGGGACAGTTGGTGCATCAGGACATTTTGAGGCAGACGGAGGCAGATTGAGGAAGGGTGCTGCCTCTTGCTCAAAAAAGCCTGCAAGTTTGAAGATTGGTAAGCCTCTTGCTTGCAGGCTGGCTCAAGTGTGTTTAGTCTTTGTGTGAAGCGCGTGGGTTTTGGCGGGAAAATCGCAGGTTCAGGCAAATTGCAACTGTTGAAGGGACATGTCAGTTGCTTTCTGTTGCCCCACTGGCCCATTGCAGCTGGTCGCCGGCTAGGCTTGCGCCCGTGCAACACAAAGAGAGCTGTGCTCTTGAACTCACAAAGTGGATGTGGATCATGAATCAGGTCCCGCATGTTCCATGATGCAACTATTGGCAGCATTAAATGCTTATCGTCATGATCATTCATCACCATCACTTTCATCGCCGTCATCATCATCAGCAGCAGCAGCAGCGTCATTAACAGCCGCACACCATCATCGTCATGGTTACCGTCATGGTCATCGTCACGGTCATCGTCATTGTCATCGTCATTGTCGTCGTCATTGTCGTCATCAGCAGAATGGCCATCATCGTTTTCGCTGTCTCCGTCTCCGTGACCCTCGTCATCGCCAGCATCATTGTTCTCGTCGTTATCGTCATTCATCATCGTCGTTGCCGTCTTCCTTGTTTTGTGCTGTTGGCTGGTCAGCCACTGCGTTTGATGCTGACCTTCAGTGGAAATTGGTTCTTCGCTGACAGTAAGACAATCGCGTGTTTCAAACTATCCTCTTCTTGTGAAAGAAGCTGGCTTGGATTTGTTGTAATGCTGACCCAGGATTAATATACCCGTACCATTATTAGAGGGTGTTCCCTCCAAAAGTGGTCTGAATCCAACCTCTAAAAGGGGACACCCCCCTATTCATCAACCAAACCAGGGTTTATTAATCCGGGGTTAACATGATCAACCCTTGAGACTTGTGAATGGACCATCGCCAAGATCTCGAGCATGAGCACCATGCTCCAGAGCTCGGAGCTTTCGACCTTTTTTGCCCCGGAAAATCTATAACGCGGCGCGACATGCCTGAGACGCAGGTGCACCTCTTGAAGCCTTGGGCTTGGCCAGGTGTTGAGGTTCTGTGACCTGCCTTTGTTGATTTACCTCAGGCTGGATGAGATAAAGCTAATTCACTAGTGACACTTGCATCTAGATCCGCCATGCGAGTAAAGGATACCGTATGATAGTTTGAGAAACCTTGCAACAAACATATGAGCTTGTTTGACTGCGCTGCGCATGTCAGGCGGATGTTGAGCTGCAACCTGTGCCGATCTATGCTTTGCACTGATGGCGGGCATGAACAAGTGTTGGACATATGTTGGAGTGGGATCATGCAGTATTGTTGGCCTGGCAAACACATCAACAACAGAAGCTATTGCCATTGCGCCTGTCAGCAAATCAGTCGTTTGGCTTTCTCAGCCAGCTGAACAGGCGCATGCAAGCCTTGGGGTGATCCTGGTGATGAAGGAGATGACGGAGCTTATCCACATACCGGTCTGAGGCCGGGTAAGAACGGAGAAACATCCGACAGGGGTCCCTAAACTCAGATGTTGTCGCCATGCTCAGTGCAAGTTCGTTTGGTGTGGAACTATGGGAACTCTACAGTGCTGCCCAAATCGATTTGTTGGATCACTCAAATATGTTGGGATCAGTGAGCCTGTCATTTCCTGCCAGGTGATTCAGGCTTTTCCACGCCCAATGAGGTCTAAAGTTGACTCACTTCTGAGTTCCTGGACTTTTGGACTTCGTCACGTTTTGGGAAGGCCATTTGAGTGGTAAACAAGCAGTTTGCTTTGTGGCCAATCTACTCAGAAAGTGAGATGAACGCTACAATGTGTTTTTGCCCAGTAGCAAGATGTGCCACCAGACTGTTCTCGTAATCGCTGGACGAGGCAACGGTGTCCGAAGAGAGATGCCATTTAAGTTGAATCTTTCCATTCACAAGAGTAGGAAGGTGTTACGCAACATTCAGTTGGCTCGGAAGAATACGTGTTCAGGCTCGCCTCGCAGTTGAGGCTTGGTGTTATTTGAGACCGTTAGACAACCAGGCTATTCCCAGCTGCCTGTCGTCGATGCTTGAGAGGAGAATGAGCCAGCCAAAAGCGGCGGATCGACAAACGGGTTGTACAGTTGCACTCATGAGGCTTTCAAACTGTTGCTTTGAACGCGAGATTGAGGGGAATCACTGTCCCCAGGCTGAGGTGAGGCTCATGTGCCATTTGTCAAAGCGCTTCTCGATGTGTAAGCACCCGCCGTTAGCTTTATGGCTTTTTTGGTCGGACTCTTGGACTTTGCCTTGGTTAAAATTTTGTGGGTTTTCCATTGGACCCGCAAGTGAAGATTTGTTTGCAGGGGTCAGCAGCAAGCAAGTTAGTTGGTTAACGTTAGAATCGGAAAGGGACTCCACACATTGTCCCAGAGGTCATACTGGGGCTGTATTTGTCGATGCCGAGGAAGTGCGGCATTGAGTGGACGACCGTGAGCCTGCGGGCGGAAAGCATCGCTGGGCAGAGTCGTGTTTGGAGCAGGAGAGCCCCATTTGTCCATATAACATGGGGTCATCACCCAAAAATACAAGGGGTCGCGGCCCCATTTTTGAAGGTGGCGACAGGCAGATTGCACGCAGCAAGAAATCCCGACAACGTTTTCTTGAACAGCCCGTGGGTGGGTTCCCTCCTGATATTCTGCTAGCATGTACTTGGGATTCGCAGTGCCTTGTGGGGATCAATTGAAACGCATGCTTTGAAGGGATGCTGTTTTGCTTCGGCAGAGATGGCGCCCGGCTGGATGGCAGGGGGCTGTCTTGGGCGGCTGCTGGCCACTTATGGTGCATTCTTCAGGGGACCTGTTCAACTGAATGTACCTTTAACTACACAGGTCATAGGGTTAGTTGTTTGTATGAGTTTTCTTAGAGACGAGTAAAACATAAAATACAAAGGTAAGGCATCTGCTGCAACAAAACCAGTTCCGATGGCTTGTGCAGGATCGAGTGCAGCATGCGAAAGGAACTTATTTGCTCGAACCCATTCATGGGGGTCGCCAAATGCAGTCGTTTGCCAGAACCCATCTTGGTGGCTGCCAGCCATCCCCTTAGCTTGTTAGCTCTTTAGTTTCTAGTGGGGATTTCCGTTCAACCCACTAAAGTTAAGCTTTTAGCGGGGGATCTGAGGGCAGCCTGGAACTGTTTACATCAACTCAAGCAGCGAGGAATGCGCGACAGCAACCCTTCCGAGCCTCAGCCGCAAGCCACGCCCCCTGCCGCTACGTACGGCCTAGAGAGGCCGAGAGACGTGGAGCGGTCGCAGCGTAGAAGAGCTGGCGTGTGCTGAGGATCCCCTGAGACTTGATTCCTCCAAAGATGCCACAAGGGGACGGACAAAAAAGGGGGATATGCTGCTGATTTAAAAACAGGCCATTGCTTGCTTCAAAACACACAAAAAAAAAGTCACAAAGGGATGGAACAACTGATGCTGTTGACTTTCCCAGGCCTAGACAACACTCACTTTGGGCATCCTTAGGCTGGAGATTTGCCAAGGGTTGCCGTGCTAAGTTTCCTGGCTCGGCTGCTCCCCCGGAAAAGGCCCGCAACAATGACCTTGATGAACAACTTGGTCATGACTTAGCATCTCCGAGTTGTTTTTGGTTTCCCTTGCCCTTTATCCATAAAATGGGGGTCCCCATGTTGCTTGGCACTAGTCACTGATTGTACCCCCTTTCTGTTGTTGCATGGCCGCAGCTTGCAGGATGTTCACATTCCTGAGTGGCGGCCGCCAAGCAATGGCGTTGTGCGAATCGTGGGCACTATTTCTGGAGAGGGCAGGAATACATTATATTCATATGAGCTACCACTAAAAGGGTCGGTACAAGGGACATGTATTGGAGTGGAATAGGGTCCAAAACCCGCAAAAACGAAGGCGAGT